TTCTGAGAGGATACTACTCCGATGTGTTGGCAGATTACATTTGTATTTGTTTGTTTGTCCAATATTTTTGTAAACTATTTTGGTAGGTTTTGTATCCGCGGCTCCATATTATCGCCGTATAGCTCCGTAAACAGGTGAATGGTTTTCGAATGGGATTCACGCGCGTTCGTGCCTGTTCCCCGATCAGAGTCGGTATTTTTCCCCGCTACAAAGGGTTCACGCACCCTTCGCGTGGCGTTCACGCGTACACATCCATATTCACGGCTCCGTGCAGTTCGTTTCGGACTACAAAGGCGTACGGAAGATGTATTTTAGTCATTCTCCATCTTCTTTTCTTCCAACGCTTTCTAATGAATTTCTTGTTTTGGATGTCTAAATAGTGATATTTTGCCACAGCAAATAAAGTTATTGCAGCAGCAGCTTCTACGTCCGTTTCGCGGTGGGTTTCACGAACGATTGTGAACATCCCGTGGGTGAGGAAGGCACTACTTGTGCCGTGATTTCACGGCGATAATGTGGAGCCGCCATATGAGTTTATAAGTTCACATAAGTTAACAACTACTGTAGTATGATTGGTTGTAAACTACGGCAATCTATATATAGAGATAGATTGCCATAGTTTAGAAAAAGAGCATATGCTCTCAGAAAATAAAAATAAAACCCAATACAAACCACTGAGATATGTATTACGTAAAAAGATACAGTCAATATATATAATTAGTGATTATATTATATATTCTTTGGTTATAATCTCCTTTTTCAGTCGGTTAGAAATTGGGGTTTCATTTACAAAAATAATACTACCAAGTATTAGGTATATTTCTTGTAATATTAAAGTTTCTTTTACATAGTTTACACATAATATTCAGCACCTACATAATGTTAATTTGGTGTCTTATAATTTGTATCATTTTTTTTAATTAACAAGAGATGTACAATAACGGCTATAAATGGGACAGTGTTAAATGGACAAACAATTTTTTCAGAAATATTTTTTATTTACAGTTTAACAGCCTTACTCATAAAAATCGACGTGAATTTAAAAAATGCATAAAACTGCTTTCACTCTCCCTTTTCACTAAATGACAATAGAAAGATCCAAGTATAGAGATAATCGGCGATAATCGGTTATAAGGACGTAAGATTTGTTAAAAATTGATGTATCTATACTGTAACGTATGTCTATTCAATAGTATACAAGTACTGCATGTTTTTTTTACTTTGTTAACACCATTTATGTTAACATTTTTATATATTTTGTCCAAAATAAACTTTTACTAAAGTGAACTTAGTCAAATTAATAAGTTTTTATTTACTTATTACCTTAATTTTTGGCCTATCAAAAGTCCACTACGCCTCCCCTAAGAGTGCCTCATAGGGGGATATTTGCCAAAGCCACCACGCTTGATAGGCGGTTGCCAACAGCAGTTTTCTATTTTTTTTTGTTATTAATATGACGATTTTTTTTAAGTAGTTAATATGATGAAGACTCAGCTTCCTATCTTATTTGTTAGCCTTTGTCGCCTCTTACGACACTTATAACGATATAGGGTAGTGGAAATTTTTTCATCTTAATTTTGAACTTGCATAATACTTATCTTGCATAATATATATTAGTCACCAAATAGTACAGAGCAGTACAAATCGCGGCACGTAAGGCTAGCGCTGAACGAAACGTGAAGTGGATAACTACATGTGTCATATCAGCGCGTGGGAACGATACGCACGCCCGTCCCGCGACCAGCTTACTACTCTGATACCTTTTTTCGACTCATGCACAATAACTGCCGCTACTTAAATCTGTAATGATTTTTGTTACATGAGTAATTTTAGGTCCTGTTTATTAATTAGCACTTGGCCGCGTAGTAGCGGCCTAAGCCCATACCATCCCGTGCTTGTTTTAAAAGGCAAAATGTAAAAAAATTGCAAGTAACTTTAAACTTGTTTATTCATTCTTGTATTAATAGATTCGCTATAATTCACTGTTGTTACACTTATGAGTTTCACTCCAATAAATTAACACTAATCAAACTAAATATCTTACGAATTAAACCTTAAAGTAATGAATTTTATGAAGAATTCCAAAAATATGCATAGCCTTAAGTGTGCATAGAGCTATAGGTTTTGGAATCAGTCTTTATACATATTAAATTAAAACTACGTCAAATTTACCCCTATTTTATAACAAAAACCAATATATAGCAAAACCTTAGTTTCGCAGAGGAAATTAGAGCTTTGTTACACAACGCAAACATAATGTAAAATACGTCTACAGTTACATGTCAACATAAATAGCGCAAGTGGCACGGTTTGAGAGCAATACCTTTCATATGCCTCAAATAGTCACAGTAAATATCTACTTCTACTAAATGTCTACTTGGTATGATATGAAGGGCGGATGCGACGACTCTATTGCCGCTCCACTTGTTTTACCTGTAAACTGGGATTGATGCAGGCACCATAAAATAAACACATTCACTGTTAGTCAAAAAATTTGCTAATTCGTCCAACAAAATTGTTCATTGCTAAAGAAAACTCTCAGTGACTTCCTTACATAGTCTATCTGTATGCTAAAGAGTACGTATTATTCATTGTAGAGGCACATTTTACAAAAAAACAAACAAATACAATCCCCTCAAAATTGTAAAAATAAAAAAATTACTGTAACCTGTGTTGATTTATCAATAGTATTTAATGTGAAACAAAAAGAAAACAAGACTGTTCAATACATTACATCACCTTGCATCTTTTAGTTAAATAGTGAATCTGTGTGAATAATCTTTTATTCACACAGATTCACTATTTAACTAAAAGTGAAAATGACAATATTTAATACTATGACACATTAAGAAACTAAAGTGACCACAGATAAATACACTATAATGACATTATAAAAATACAATCTAGGATTTGCAGACTAACAAAGAAAGATAAACGGTAGTGTTCGGTCTTTGCTGTACATATAGTGGTGATGTAAGAATATCCACTATAGGAAATCTTCCAGACAGCCAGACACATGGAAACTAATCAGGAGATGGGGTGACCATGTGATTGAATTTCGCTCTCCTCTTTTTAACACCGGACAACCAAACATTTGGTGGGTCTTTACTACTTTGTTATTGATATTCCACATATCAGAACTTCGTTTGGTTCGTCTTTCGTAATGCGAACACCGAACAGAAAAGCAGTGGCGCAGTTTGCCGGCAAGAATGGATAGGCTAAATTTAACTTAATATTTAAAAAAAATAACTTTTAAAAGGAACTAACTTTGTATCCATAAGAAAAGCATTCGTAAAATATATAACATTAATAAATAATTAATGTGTAGTGACGGTGTATTGAATACCCCACATCATCCCGTGGGTGTCGTAAGAGGCGACAGAGGGGAACAAATCAGGAGTTGGACAGCGTGTTTTTAATAACTAAAAATAAAAAAAAACTGCTGCCAAGCATGTCAACTGTGGCAAATATTACCGATGGTATACGGCATATCAGGGGTGGGGATATTTTTTTGTCTAGTATAAATAGCATATAAAAAGGTGAGAACATTCGATCGTCAACAGCGGTGTCGTACGGACGTATTCGGCGTGCTATGAACTAACGGAGTGCTAAAGTGTATCTACAACTAATATCCGAGTTATCGGGCATTTTACATGCCCCATGAAGCAATATGGGGGAAGCCTTATCACAGTAAAGAAAAAGTTCAGGAGAGTATTTTTTGTAGACTGTAACAGTAATGTTTCTGTCTATCTTTCTTTGATGGTCTGAACCAGGATTAGATTCACTTTACAGCTTATTTCGTTTCTAGTGGCAGTCCGTTATATATTCATTTATAACACTTATTATAAATCTTATGTTTTACCACTAATTTATTTTAACATTAATATAATAATCACTTTTTATTACTTATAAATCAGCCTGAGTTACTGAGGTTTAGTTAAGGCAATCGCACATAAATTTAACACAAGCATTCATATTATGATAACTGTATAAAAAAAATTACATAAATAATCAATGACAGCACTATTCAAATAGGTAAATAAATTTAAACATAGATAATTTAATATTTCAATTTAAAAAAATGAATTTTTGAAAGTAAGTTTTATTTGTGGATTTTTGGGATATTAATTTATAATTCGGAAGACATTTGATGGATAAATATGGTATGATACCAGATTTACTTTATGACGACTTTGAGGGTGGATTTCTCACAGCTGTAATTACTATAATATGGCCCTACAAATCAACAACTTTTCTTTCAATCAACACAAACAATGGTTGTTGCTGCGAATGTCAAAAAACTTTTTTTTTCATCTCATGAAAAACGTTAATATAGTAATTTTTCAGATTAATCGACAGGAATTTTCCACTGGTTTCATTCCTGCCACAACATTCTCCTGTCTTTTTTTTGTTTTAACATTTTGGATTTGACCGAATTTCATATGTTGGAAAAAAAAGACTCCAACTCGATCGATCTATTACAAACTAATAAAATTACCCATTTGGCAGAATTAGTTCAAACATTGTTTTTGTGGGCATGCTAATAGTATTTATTTTACTATTTATAAACCGGTCTTTAACTACAATCTATTAATTATTACCATAAAATAAAGTCTTTGATAATTCTTAGAAAAAGGAGAATCTACCGACAGCTTTCACTTCAAAATTCGTAACATAGGTTTTGGTGTTTATTGATTACATTATATATATGTAAAACATACACCACGCCCCCCAAGAAAAACTAATTATCCGCCGAATCGGATAACACGCACTTTAATAAATTGCGAGGCATATCCAGATTATAACTTACGATTCATTTATTTATAACTAAATCATTTATAAAACAAACAAACAAACAAAGATAGCTGTAGATTTTCTTTTATAATTAACATACGCGCCGCCGGTACTTCTATAACATAAACAGTAATTTCACTTTCGCATAATATCATCCATCACTATTATGTAGTCCAACTAATACAGACGCAATGTCGACAGCGTTGTCAAACCGCACTTTTGACCAGCGAGTCTGCTGCCATCAGCAACATGCGGAACTGCCTAGCCAGGGTGTGTCCCGGATTCGCTGCAAGGTAGGCCGTGATCTGTTTCTGCAACTCCCTCACCACCACGGGCAGGTGCTCCCGAGTCACTGGGTTGCTTGTGTCCAGGTTCATTATTGCTTCTTCAAGGTATCTGGAAAAAGCGAGATGATTTTATTGATGGTCCTCGGTAATAAATATTCAATTAATTATGTATTACAAATATTTTATTGTATAAATATTTCTTATTCTTGTATTTCTCTTGTAGTATATTTGAAAATGTAATACGTGCTATCCGTTAGGGTGAGGGTCTGGTGATCTATAACCTAGGGATTACCCTAGTATGGACACCAGTCTCTCACAAAGGTCAAAATTATCTACAACCATATTATTTAAGAAATAATGTGAAATTATATACCTTTGTGTAGAGAAAAATAAAATGATTTATTATTTACTATGTTATTAATAACAATTTAAATGTTAGTTATTAATTAAGTATAAATTAGGTACTATTTATATCAATTAATAACACAATTATATGACGTACAGATTTACTTATATCACGCAGAATCTTTTCAGCATTTGCAAAACATTGTAAAAATATCGATACATTATTATTTTCTACGTGGTAGAGCCATGCTGCAGTTATATTAGTAGTATAGTTGTAGCACGAATGGGTCGGCTCGACCGGGGAAGGACAACGCTCTCACAGAATACCAGCGTGAAATAGTAGCTTAATGCTGCTGTATTTCGTATGGTGAGTGTAGAGAACCGGAGACCCTTTTTACTGAAAATGAGGCATTCCATCTCAGTCCTCACGGGTGACAACGCATCTGCATTTTGATTTGTAATGGAAGATAGATGTAGATGTCTATGGGCCGCAGCAACCACTTACCATCAGGTGGACTGTGTGCTCGTTTGTCAGCCTATTCTATAAAAATAAACATCGATGTATCGTTATTTATCGATATGTCGACATTTTTAGCGGATATATTTTAATCCGATGTATCGATACAAAATATAAAAATTATATTAAAAAATATCGATATATATTTTTTCACTACCAACATCCCTAATATAGACGCAGATGTCGCAAAGACCATAGGAACCAAGGAAGGTAGTAAACGTACTTAAGGCAACAACGTCAAAAAATGCACCTCCTTTCATCAAATAGTATAGGACTATGACACCACTAACGAAAGTGGGATTTTGATATAGGTAAATTCATGTCTTTATCTTGAATTTGATTGCTCAAAAACACGATTGTATAATTTTGACTCGATCATAATTATTTGCGAAAACACCTCTAAAAAAATCACGATAGTTGAAATTACAACGAAATCATTTGATCTATATGCTTGGGAATCGCTCAAATATATTCATAACATCAATATTCATAAATTACTTGCTCATTATTTTGATAACTTAAATCAATAATTTTTTAAAAAATATTTTAAGATTCTGACAATTTCTAAGCGCTTTTAATCGTCGCGGGCGCTACGCAATTTTAGACCTTATGACGGCGTTTCTTCAAGTTTTTATAGAAATTATGTATTCACTCGGATCAGTACGGCGATAGCGTTTTCGATGTGTCGTCTTAAGATAAAATCCTAGTATATAGCATTGAAGTATTATGTAATACGTACTATAGTTTATGCCAAATCGATTGAGAAAAACAGACATTGACCTTTCGGTCGTTTAACCAGGGGCTACAAACCTTCATTATATAGGCACTTTTTATATGTAGTACTTTCTTTATTTATAATGTTATTTTTATAAATTTTTTTATAATGATCGATATAATATATATTTATTAACTATTATTAAAAAGTTATATAAAAGATGGATGTAGAAGATAAATCATCTATTGTTATAAAGTACTTTATTCGTTTAACAACAAAAAGCATTAATTTATGACACATATAAAGATTCGAGTGATAACATTACCGAATAAGTACGTACTTATTCAAAAGAAAAAAAAATATTTTCAATATTATATAAGAACTTTATTTTTATTCGGTGTATGTGGGCCGGCCCAAAAAAAGTGACGCATTTCTGGCTGCCATTGTCACGTTTCTTTTAGAACGAACTGAAGTAACGCGCGTTTTGTTTATTTTAAAGGGATGAATTTGCAAAAGCTCAATATGGTGATTGTATTGCTTCAAATATTTTTTTTAATATGAAAATGTTATTAAATGAATTGCTGCGTTACTTACCATAAATTGAAATATAAAATATAACACATTTTTCGCGATGTACCGTAAGATTTTACGATGTTTATAGGATCCACAGACAATATTATATAAGAAACAAAAAACAAAACATATGTGCTGACCTAGAAGTGTGAATAATATCAATATTTAAATATTGTTATCACATCTAAATTGAGATTTTGTAAGTTTCGCCTTTTGACCTTTGCCTTTTGTCATCGTCCGTTTTTCTCAATCGATTTGGCACGAACTATAGAACAGACATCGCAAACAAAATCTAAGCGACAATGCGGGGCGCGTGGTCGGAGGCACAGAGTATCGGTTTATAGCCATTGAGCTATTATGTACTACGTACTGAAGGCGACACTGCATTTACCATTCAAATGGGGCGTTAGTGCCGCACTTAACTCAGTTACTCGCTAGGCGCTAGTGAGTTAATGCTCATAGCATACCACGCAGCCGGCTGCGTGGTATGCTATGAGCATTCTCTACTTCCCTCCCCCGTTACCAGAGAGTTGCCCTTAATTGCTTCGGGCGCAAAAAAATTATTATTAATAATAATAATTTATTATGTACAACTTTATTTTTGTAGAAACATATAAGTTACCATTATTAGGCAAAAATTTTTATATTTAAATCTGCTCATTATTCTTTTATTTTATTTTTAGATTTCCACATCAAAGTCAAAGTGAAATAAATTCGTCCATTTTTAACTTACGCGTGCCCAGCATTTATGAACAACTCTTATTCTAATTTAAATAAATATATTTGTGATTTAAATGTTATATTAATAAGTTTTGTTAAATCTACATTTAGTATGTTTTTTTTATATTTGACGTAGTTACTTTTAAAATATTCAGATAAAAATATCAATAAGATGTAATTGTGATAAAATATTATGTAATATTATATTAAAGAAGCAAATACTATATACAATAAAATTACAAAATTTAAAAATTGTACTCGATATAATTTACCTATTTAACAATACAATTTATTATTACCTACTAATCATTCTACCTATGTTTATTCTATGATAAAAACCAACCCCGCGAACACAGAGTAGCGCACATTTTTTGTTTGAAATAGCTGTTCTAGTACGTAAGTACATATTACTTCAATGTTTATAGCACAGACTAAGTTTGAGCCTGCAGGTTTGCTGTTGTAAACAACCAAGTACCTGTCTTTTCTAGTGGAGTCTGTTTCATAAAAGAAGTCCTACGGAAACTATGCGAACTAAAATTTCATGTATGAAATTTGGTACCAGATGTCAAACTTCGCAAAAACTGTGCTTGAGGAGCGTGTCGCGCTGCATGTCGGCGGCGAGCTGCTGCACGAGAGATAACAGCACGTGCTGCTCGAGGCGGCAGGGCACCACCAGCTATAGTACACAGTACACACACATGCACCTGTGCTTGAGGAGAGTGTCGCGCGTCGCGCTGCATGTCGGCGACGAGCTGCTGCACGAGAAATAACATCACGTGCTGCTCGAGGGGGCAGGGCACCACCAGCAGCTATAGTACACAGTACACACACACGCACCTGTGCTTGAGGAGCGTGTCGCGCTGCATGTCGGCGGCGAGCTGCTGCACGAGCGATAACAGCACGTGCTGCTCGAGGCGGCAGGGCGGGCCGAACACGAGCGCAGGCTCGATGGCGCGACACGCGCCCACCACCAGCGCCAGGTCGGACGCCGACAGCGCGCGCTGGAACGCGCCGTTCACGTCGCCGCTCGCCAGCAGCGCCTGCACCTGCGCTAGCTGCATCTGTACAACGGGATTCTCGAATTAAAATTAAAGAAAATTATTGAAGTAAAAACTTCTTTAGAATCGTTGTGAATTGCCACTTAATAAAACGAAAAAGTGGCACTATAAAGAGACAAACAATATTAATATAAGATTTAGTCTGCGAGAGAATGAAATAATAAACACTAAATTGATTATTAATTTATAGCTACCTTAATAATTTCATATATTACATTAAATTTAATGTACGAAATACACAATAATAATAAAATTAAATGTTTAACATAGAAGTTTGTTATTTCTTTTTGTAATAAAAACGACATACGACTATGTAAAACTTTATATTTTATTTAGTTGTTCGTTTTGCAAAAGTGTAACTAATGACAAATAGAACTTTGTAGTATTCATAACTCAAAAAGTACTGAAATTATAACATAGAACCTTGTAATTGTGAGCCAACGATTTTTTAATTACTAAGAGACTGTAATTTCAATATGATCGGTTTTGGCTTCTTGCTATCTGTCATTTCTTACGGCAACTCTCGTAACAAAGTCATTATCAGTGTATATGTTTATTTGCAACAAGTTTTCACTCCCTTTTGAGGAATACCATTTATTTGAATATTGGATCGGCGCACCCGTTGCTCATTTCTATAGTTGTCTTCAACCAATCCCTTTACTTAGACTTGAGTTCATCAAGATCGGTTTTAGACGACTCTAAAGCAGAACCCTACTTCCAATCGTTGTTACGCGCTCTGAGATCTTAGCCATCCTTGAATTGAGAGTTAACTTTAGATCATCAATATCGCTCGTCATTTGTTTCAAATTGTTTTGGATAAACTGGATAGTTGAGAATTGTGACTGGAGTCCAACAATTTTTGACGAGATGTCATTCAGAATATAACCCATGGCGCTTAGAGAACAGGAGAACCATCACTACGTACTTAAGCATAGCCCGCCAGTCATTGAAAATTGTAAAATCTATAGCGGCGCTGACGTCGGTGAGTAGTGACTGCAAAGTTAGCTGTTTATGAGTACAAATGGCATTGGTGAGAAAATTTCCATGCTCCGTAATTTTGTAATTTTTGACAAAAAGGAACATTAAAAAATGGAGAAATATTTTATTGTGCGTGGATGTGCAAGTGGTTTAGCATCTGAACGGAAAAATAGACTAAAAATGACTTATATTGAGAGAACTTAGCGATCGCAGCGCCTTACTTATGGTGTCCATATTTCTGAGACACTATTTTCTACGGCGATAATTCTCCTGTTCTCTAACCTCCGTGATATAACGAACCGATAACTCAGATTGAATTTCATTATGAGTGGACAACAGTTTAGGTGTTGTCAGTTTACCTGTCTGTCGACGGTGGGGTGCGGGGCGGGCGTGGCGGGCGAGTGCGCGCGCGACAGCTGCGCCGCCACGCTGCGCGCCTGCTCGCGCCACCACGTCATCTCCTTTTCCAGCACGCTGCGGGACAAACGCATTCGTAATAAAACGATAAACTGGCACCACGCATCTATTACTATAGTCAACACCAAACTGTAAATGATTACCTAGTTGGTAATCATTTACTGATAATCGATATAGATTTTTTTAGGAAATGAATATTGTACGCTCCCATTTTTTGGTTGGCACGCTTGGTGCATTAAGTCTGACAGCTGTCAAAATGAAAATGAAAATTTTTAGATTTGGTGAACTATAATTCACAAAATACAGTTTAGAAAACATTACATTTTTCTGCGGTCGGCAGACAGTCGGCCGCGTGTGCGCGCGCGCGCGCGCGCGTGTGTGTGTGTGTGTATGTGTGTGTGTGTGTGCGCGTGCGTGTGTGAGTGAGAGAATGTGTGCGCGTGCGTGTGTGTGCGTGTGTATGTGTGTGTGTGTGTGTGTGTGTGTGTGTGTGTGTGTGTGCGTGCGTGTGCGAGCTGCGCGGGTGTGGTGGTGCTGCGTGCGTGCGAGCGTGCGTGCGTGCGTGCGTGCGCTCGAGCGTGCATCGCGCGCGCGTGTGTATGTGTGTGCATGGGCATGTGTGCACCTACCCGTGCGCGACAGTGCGCAGAGCGGCGGCGTGTCGCTCGAGCGCGTCGCGCGCGCGTCTGTATGTGTGTGCATGTGCGTGTGTGCACGTACCCGTGCGCAACAGTGCGCAGCGCGGCAGCGAGCTGCGCGGGCTGGTGCGCGGAGGCGAGCGCGGCGGCGTGCCGCTCGAGCGCGTCGCGCAGCGCCTCAGCGCCGGCCGCGCCGCCTCGCTCAGCTGCTGCTCGCGCCGCCGCCTCCGTCTGCGCCGCGACTGCACACACCAATTATTTTACTTTTTTTAAACGAGCAAGCGGCTCACCTTATGGTAAGCAATTACTGCCGTCCATGAACAACTGCAACACCAGGGGAATTGCAGATGCGCTGCCAGCCTTTAAAAAGAGTAAGCTCTTTTCTTAAAGGTCCCTTCGTCATATTGGTCCGGAAAAATCGCTATTGGTAGTCGATTCTTGCTGTTCCGCTTTATTGGCTGTTCCGCGACTTCGTCCGCGTGGAATTTATTACAAGTGGGTTTCGTGGATTTTAATTTGTTGGGTGGATCTCAAATATTTCTAAAATAAAATTAGCTTTAGTTACTCCTTATAACATCAGCTATCTGCCAGTGAGAATCCCGTCAAAATCAGTCTAGCTGTTTCGGAGATTAGCCAGCACAAACAAATAGAAAGACAAAACAAAATTTAATTTTTTTTAAATTATAAGTACCATAATATATACTTTCATACGCATTTCGTAAAAACCTGTTATTTTGACATTACAAACACACTTCACATTTATTCATTTTTAAAAATTAATGTTACTATACTTTTAGTACACCGCTCAAAATTTGACCGTCACCTCTACAAAAACTGCTATGTATACGGCCAGACGGACTCTCCAGCCTTATAATACAATACATACATACATAGATAAACACTCACACCTGTCACCCAGAAGGGTAGGCAGAGACTCAAAGCCTCCATTTAGCACGATCCTGACACACTTCTCTCGCCTCCTCCACATTCATATACCTACGCATACATGCTCGTTGATTAACAGCACTCTTAATTTGGCCCATTTTCAACATATCGCCAATTTGGTCGATAAACTTTCGCCTAGGACGTCCCTTTCCGACTCTTCCGTTCACTTCTGCAACATAAATTTGCTTTGTCACTCTTTCCTCATTCATTCTTTCTACATCACCAATCCACCGAAGCATTCCTTTCTTAGTCCTGGTCATAACATCATCTTGCAAACCACACTCTTCTTTTATCACATAATTTCTCACCCTGTAGCATACTCCTTAGCGACCGCATTTCTACTGCATTTATTCTACTCTCATGCTTCTTCTTCCACACCCAACTTTCACTACCATACGTTAAAGTAAGGACTAACACAGCATTGTAAATAACAACTGTCCATAAATAGGTTGAGCAGCCACGGACACACAGCCCTGTCTGACACCTTTATGGATGCCAGACCAGTCCGAGTAGGCCCCGGTAATCCTAACACAAGCCCTAGAGTCCATATAAAGAAACTTCAATACCTGTATCAACCCAGCGCTCAACCTAAATGAGTTCAGCGTTTGCCATAACACATCCCCGTCCACTCTGTCATAAGCCTTCACCAAGTCCATGAACGCAAAAAAAACTTGTTGATTTTTGGCCAAAAAACATATCCGCGATCATGCGCATGGAAGACTTGATCTATACTCCCTATTCCCTTTCTTAGCGCAATCCCAAATTTTGCATCAAATTCTTTGATAACTCTTTCAATCAGTACCTTAGCATACAGTTTTCCTACAATGCTAAGAAGGCTGATACCACGGTAGTTTTGACAGTCCTGCTGCGACCATTTTCCCTTATATATTGGGACTATCACGGCTTTGCACCAGTCTACCGGTACCCGCTTCAGTTCCCAGCATAAATTAAAAAAGGTGTACAGCAGGCTTGCCACCACTTCCTCTCCAGCCCTTAGCATTTCGAGTGATATTCTGTTATATCCGGCTGCCTTAGGTACTTTCATGCGTTTCGTTGCTTTCATTATTTCATCTATACTTATCTCCCTATATCTTTCCTCTTCTTTCGGAATTTCTATTTCATTCAGTTCACACGTCTCATCACTCATAAATACGCTTTCAAAATATTCCTTTCATCTCTTTAGACTCAAAACTTCATCATTCAAAATACAGCCATTCTTGTCTCGTATAGCATTCAATCTAGGCTGTTTTGTATGTCCCCTTACGAGTTTCCAGAACATTTTAATATTTGCCTGGAAGTTATCCTTATTATATATATATATTATATATATATATATTTATTAAATATATTATATATTATTTACGTTCTAACATTCTTATCCTTTTTCCTTTCAACTAATTCTTTTACTCTCTTATTTAGACGTCTAAACTCTGCCTTTTTTTCTTTGCGTAATTTCAACTTTCATACGTACCACATCATCCCACCATAACGTTTTATTTTTCTTAACATTCGTTCTCTTACTAACTCCATATACTTAAGTAGCTGCATCAACCAAACCTTTATTCACATTTTGCCACACGTTCTCCTAGACTAACTCAGTCATACACAATTCATCCAGACCACTTATATTTTCGATTATGTTTTTTTTCCAACACAACCGACCCAATTTCTTTTGAAACAAAAAAAAATTCTGCCTATGTGCTCTAACTTGTCTCTAACTACTTGTCGTTCACATCTTCATCTCGAAACCTCTCTGTGCTTATACGCTGTAACGCAGTGGTAGACACAGATGTCCGATGCCGCCAAGATATACTATTATAGACAATATAGACTATTAATTCGGCGTAAGACCAAGTAATGATCCGCCCCTACATTGGACCCCCGGTAAACCCTTGTATCCACCACTGCGCTCCTCGTTCTTTCATCCACAGTTATGAAATCTATCATGCTTCTATCATCACCTCTTTCCCATGTATACATGTGAATCTTCCTATGACGAAATAAAGTGTCCGTTTTTCCACACATGCGGCGAGGAGGCTCCTACCATCCTCATTTATACTTTCATCACCAAACGTTTCCTTATAATACATTGCACACTAAGTTACGCGCAATTCTCCGTAACTCCTTTAGTCGACTGCGAACGGCCGAGAAAACCAGTTATTAGTTTTGTAAACAGCAAAGTTATTTTCGTTAATCTAACACCGATTTTGTTTAATGGGTCCTGAGATAGCGCTGTCATTATTTATGTTCACACTTTATCAAAATTATTAGATCTTTTAAACTACGCAACGGATTATGTGATCGTGATTCAAGAGAAAAATTTATATGTATAATAAATAGATGTATATGTTGTCGAGTTCCAAAAATCACCCATGCGAAGCCGGGCTGGACCACTAATACAAAATCAATGCTTGATGAAGGAGCATTTGAAACCACATAAAAGTAATGATTTATTGGCAACATTTTAAAATTCTGTGGCCACAATCTCTACTCTGTGTAATCTCTACTCTGTGCAACTGTTTGAACACAGATTATTATGAGTTTGACATTGGCAGTATGAATGCAAACAATGAATGTTTTTAGAGAGTAAGCCCAGACCATGGGCAAAACTCCAAAGCTCAATAACCATCGAGGCACTAGTACCCCTTGAATGATGCAAACAAACGAAAAAACGCCTTATTACAAAAAGTGGTTTATGATTATTTACAGGTCTAAACTCTCTGTTTAAATAGTCTCACAGAAAATATGCGATTTAAACCTTTTAAATTTCACGACGACTGTCTTGCCGCGGCTAAGACACATTTTCCGTAACCAAGACCCTTCCTTTAACCCAAGATTATAAATAAACCACGTTTTTTAATAAGACAGACACAGTTTACATACAGAGTACAAAGTAGTAACAGGATTATCAACTCACACTCTTTGGTGCCATTCTGGAAGGCCTGATTAATTTGTCGGAAAATCTGGGCGTGCGCTTTCTCCATCACGGGCACCACACTTTCGAACAGCGCTTGCCGGAAGGACTCGCGCACCATCTCTGACAGAGACGTTGCTATGGCCGTGCTTAGACGCTCCGTCACTGTCTGATTACAAAAAATAATGTTCAATTATTATAGCCCATTAAAAGCCTACTGCTGAACATACGTTTGTGTGTATAGAGGTCACAAGGAATAAAAAGTAATTTAGTAATATAATTGATAGAATCAGGCGTTACTTTACGGAATCCATTATAATAAAGATATTAATAGTTATTTTGCAACCATCCGCTAAATGAAATAAAATGATGTGTCTGTGGCGGCGCTGTCGTCGTGCCGCAAACGAAACACACCGAAGCTTAAATCACGCTATCAAAATTCCGAATCATAAACAGTATATATAGAACATCTCCGAACTATCACATGGAGCGTTGGTCGCTCCCCGGCAGAACACCTTGCCCGGCAGATCTCCCCTTTTCCTTCCACGGCCACATGTCTTCCCTAGTTTGAAGAGCACCTCTCGCTCTCCCTCAGTTGCGTGCACCAATCCCGTCACCACCAATCCCAGCTCCACTACTCCCAACGCTAACTACGTCGTCGGTACTCGTACTGAGCGAGTCACACGTGACCACGTGGAGATATTTTTAATTGTTTCTGTGTCTTATAGTAATATTTCATTATAATAGTTGACTTTGTTTTATTTAAACTTTTTGTGTTTTATTTAAACTTTATTTTGTAGTATTAATTTGTGCAGTGTGTGTAATCGTTTTAAACATTTTTAAACATTTTTAGTCGTTGTAAACACGTGTTAGGTTAGGTTAAACCACGCGGTTACCGCGTGGTCTAACCTAACCTTTAGGTTAAGTATATTTATTCTATTGCTGAGTGTATTATTCTGTGTTCGTTTGGATTTTTAAACTGTAAGTACTTTTATTATAATTAGTGTTAGATTATATTATAAGAACTGAACTGGAATATAGGTTAGATTGTGCCGGTGTTGTTTGACACTGACAGCTGTCATTGTATATGACACTGACAGTGACGTTGGCAGCTGACATTGTGGGTGACACTTCCATAGACAGTGACGTTTACAAACAGTGACCGTTGGTTGCGTTTCAATTTAATTTTATATAGTGAACTTTTTTTTAATTAAAATGGCGGATGACGATGAGGGCTTTACGCCCAGGAAGTCTTTGACCAGGACCCCGCCGGGACCCCTCGGCCGGCCGGTGCACCCCCCTCCCACCGCCAGTAGTGCCGGAGAAGCGGCCACTGGCGTCTCCGGAAGAAACGCAGGCGTCTTCCCAGCGGCCAAGGGTGGGCAAGCGCACTGATTCGCGCCGGAGTGTGGCACCGGTGGCAGGGTTTCTGACGAGGAATGTTGAGGAATCTGCTCCCGAAACAGAGGAAGAGGACTCCAGGGAGGCAACTCGGGGTGTGAGGGAGAGCTTCAAAGCTACCACCGCTTCGAAGCTGGAAGTCATCGACCAGGTGCGGGAGACGGTGAGAGGAATAATGTCCACAGTTACAGGACCCGGCTCCAAGCTGAAGAAGGCGGAGGTGAACAAGGTTTCATCATACGGCCTTGACCTCATCGCCATGGTAGCGATCATGGAGGTCCACATTTCTGAACTGGAGCTGGCCAGACTAAAAGCGGAGAAGGAGAAACTCGTCGTAAAAGGAGACTGGCGCAGGTCGAGACCGGAACAGCTTCTTGCCACACGACGGACCCGGCACCGCAGCGCTCTTACTCGGCTGCACTGAGGCTACCTAAGGGAGCAGACCAGGTGCTGATGCCTGTCAGCACGGGCCTTGCGGGGCGGTGGTTGCCTTTTATCCGGCTGAAGCTGAGGGGCCAATTAAGACTGCGGAGGACACAAAGTCAGAATTGAAGAAGGCAGTGAACCCGAAGACCAGCGGCCTGCAAATAGACCGGTTTAGAAAGGTGGGAAATGCAGGTGTCGTGGTCCAGACCACGTCCCAGGAGGCCGCCAAAAAATTAAAAACCGCAGCCCCTCCATCATTGAGGGTGTCTGAGCCCAGGCAGCGCCTTCCCCTGGTTGCCCTCAGGGGTTTTGAGAAGGACCCCAAGAATGAGGAAGTGATAAGCGGCCTCTACGAGCAGAATCTTGCTGCCTGCGGCTGGAGTGAGGATAAGGTGAAGGCAGACTGCAGGGTGGCCTTTAAGAAATCGTGGAGAGGAAACAGGCGCACCACTGTTATACTTCAATGCTCGGCTGCACTAATAGACGTGCTGGTGGGACATAATCGCCTCTACATTGGCTGGGACGTGGTGGAGCCCTGCGACTACGTAGATGTCACGTGCTGCCAGAGGTGCCAGCAATACGGGCATCCGGCAAAATACTGCAGGTCCAAGGAGACTGTGTGTAGCAATTGTAGGTGGGGCCTGCCAAGCAAAAGAAGAGAAGTGCGCTACCTGCAAGCGATATGGCCGGCCCGACTCTGGTACGCACGTGACCATGGCAAGGAACTGCCCATCAAGATTGTATGCAGAGCAACGCTCCGTGGCACACAATACACAATACTGCCGATAAGGGCATGTCCAGCGACTTAAAAGAACGTACCATTAAAATGGGGCAGATTAACTTGGGTCGGGGGGAGCTTGCCACGGCTGAGTTGCCTATTCTGGCGCGTGAACTGCACCTGGACATTGTTCTTGTTCAAGAACAGTACTCCCAGGCTGCAGGAATCGTCCAGGTGGGTGGGCACCCGTGGGCTGGCATCTATCTTGCCGACCCAACAATTGGAGTAGCTTTGCTGAGCCATCTCAGCAACGAGTTCTGTGTGGTGTGCCACGTAAATCGATGGGACCTCTATGTGGTGTCAGCGTACTTTAAATACAGTGACACCATCGATGACCACCTTCACCACTTGGAGGTCACCCTGAGTTGCCTAAAGGGCAGAAGGGTCATCGTCGGCCTCGACGCAAATGCGCACTCGCCACTTTGGTACTGCGATCGCCGACACCTCGTGGGACGAGGACATACTGCAGAACACCGGAGGCAGCAAATGGAGGCGTTCATACTTTCACAGGCACTAACGTTGGCGAACCAGCCTGACCAGCCCTATACTTTCTCTGGGCCAGGTGGAGAGTCCAATGTGGACATCACATTATCGACTGGGGACATATACCTTGCCGAGTGGCAAGTGCATGAGGGAATCTGCGCCAGCGACCATAATTTAATTACATACACGGCCACTACCAGCGGGCCGACCACTTGCGCTGCACCCGTCAGGGATCCCCCACGTTTTCGTGACCGGTGGGTGGATTGGGACAGGTTCCGGGCGATCATCAAATTAAGAATGGGATGGTTGCATGTGGACAAACCCGTGGCCCTCCTGGTAGAGGAGTTTTCAGGGGGTCATCATCCGCTCCGCGGAGGAAGGCCTAGGGGAGCGTCGCTCTAGGGGTTCCGGGGGGTATGAATGGTGGAATTCTGAACTGGATAAAACTCGGAAGCTGCAATGCAAGCTCAGGCGTGTATGGCAGAGTAAAAGGCGTCTGGGAGGTAGATCAGAGAAGATAGCCAGAATGGCTTTTCATAGCGTGCTTGCGAGATATAGGAAGATGATGGTGGAGGGGCAGCAGTCGCATCACACGAGAGTCGCCAATACTGGTAATGAGGACCCTTGGGGCCTGGCATACAGGTTGGCCAGCGGGAGGGTGCGTCCGCCTGCGAATGTGATCAATGGGATTGCATTCGCGGGTGCAAGTACCGCGCGCGCATCTCCCGAGATTAGGCCCGTATGACCTGAGGGTCGGTGGGGCCATGGGAGGTGGTGGGTTGTCCCTACTCCCAACGCCACTGCTCCCAACACCACTATTCTAGGAAAGACGCACCATCGACGATAATACGGTACGATAGTACGACCTGAAGATGCCTCGTGTAGAGGCGAAACACGAAACATAAGAGCAAGTTTTATTTTAATGTAAGCGTGGTTTACAATACAAACACGTTCGTTCAAGATCGGGCGACTGCATGTAGTACGGTGAAAGTCTATTGTTTTCTTGTCTATTGGTCTCTCGCGTTAATATTAAATCTTTTCTGATTTGATTTATTGTCAAGCATGTCACGTGTCGCACTTTCGAACCTGCACCTCATTGTCGGTCTGGTGCATTGGCCGCTCCCCCGGGCAGAACACCTTGCCCGGCGGGAGATCTCCCCTTTTCCTTTCTACGGCCACAGTGGTGATCCCGACGTGATTTGAACACGCAACCAAACAACCTTCGGAAACTTCAAGCTTTATCATCGTCATAGAATACCCCACCAATGGGTGGGGTATTCTATGACGATGATAAAGCTCCCGAACAGATATCGTCTGCAGTCTTCATATCCTGCAAGCCAGCTAGCTTCACAAGGTTCATCGCAGCACTGGAATAATAATGCTTCCTGTTCCTTCAAGCTACTCTCTGCGCCATACAGTGTTCGGCACGGCTCTGAGCCTTACTGCTCGCCTCTGCTTCACGGCACTTTCGCAGATTACTTGCCTTCTTCTCGACTCACCGCAGACTACAAGGCAATCTCCTGGCACTTGCACATTCGTCGGCAACGAGGCTGCACTATCGACCTCCGGTCTGAGCAGGGGGGTGATGTAGCGGCGCTGTCGTCGCGCCACTAGCACACCGAAACACACCGAAGCCTAAATCGCGCTATTAACATTCCGAATCATAGACAGTATATATAGAACATCTCCGAACTATCACACGGAGTGTTGGCCGCTCCCCGGGCAGAACACCTTGCCCGGCGGGAGATCTCCCCTTTTCCTTTCTACGGCCACAGTGGTGACCCCGACGTGATCTGAACACGCAACCAACAACCTTCGGAAACTTCAAGCATCATTATCGTCATAGAGTACCCCCACCCATTCGCTCCCAAGCAGATATCATCTGCTGTCTTCATATCCTGCAAGTCATCTAGCTTCACAAAGTTCATCGCAGCACTGGAATAATAATGCTTCATGTTCCTTCAAGCTACTCTCTGCGCCATACAGTGTTCGGCACGGCTCTGAGCCTTACTGCTCGCCTCTGCTTCACGGCACTCTCGCAGATTACTTGCCTTCTTCTCGACTCACCGCAGACTACAAGGCAATCTCCTGGCACTTGCACATTCGTCGACAACGAGACTGGACTATCGACCTCCGGTCTGAGCAGGGGGGTGATGTAGCGGCGCTGTCGTCGCGCCACTAGCACACCGAAACACACCGACGCCTTAATCGCGCTATTAACATTCCGAATTATGGACAGTATATATAAAACTTCTCCGAAATATCACACGGAGTGTCGGCCGCTCCCCGGGCAGAACACCTTGCCCGGCGGGAGATCTCCCCTTTTCCTTCCACGGCCACACGTTTATCGGAAACTGAGGGAAAAAAGAAGGAAATTTATTTAATCAAACTTGTATTTTATGACACGCACATGGGGAAACGGGGTGATGAATCCTCTAGCAATACCTTGCTGGTGGCGAGGCGGTGGATATCGTCGAGCAGCAGACCGACGGTGTGCTGTTAAATTTGCGTGCATGCGTGGTGCGTGCGTGCGGGCGCTCGGGCGGTACTGATGGCGAGGCGAGCAAAGTGTCAAGTAGTAGCCCGGCGGTGTAGTGCTGAGAGCGCGCGCGTGTGTGTGTGTGTGTGTGTGTGTGCGCGGATGTACGTGAGGTACCTTGCTGGTGGCAAGGCGTTCGATGTTGTCGCGCAGCAGGCGGTCGGTGGCGGTAAGCTTGGCGGCCAGCTCGTGCTGCAGCGCGGCGGCCAGCGGCTCAAGCGCGCGCGCCGCACCTGCGCCCGCCGCCGCCGCCGCGCGTGCGCCCGCCGCTTCTCCCACACGTGCCACGCGCTCCCACCTGCCGGCAACCGGCCTTTATAACACGCGCTACAAACCGCGCCACAACCCGCGCTACAACCCGCACCACAACCCGCGCTGCAATGTACTACAACCCGCGCCGCAATCCGCGTTACAGTCTGCCACCACTACCACCCACGTTACAACGCGCAGTACAGCACGCGCTACAGTCCAGTTCGCGCTATAACACGCAACAACGGGCGCCCCAAGACACTCGCTGTTCCATCGAAGCGTTGATATTCATCGTACCAAATTTAGATACGTCGAGTTATTTTGTAAAACAAAACAAACTTCCATTCACCTCCACCACGAACGCTGTTTCTATTGGCATACACACTAATAGATCTCATTTGACACTTCATCAAAATAAACTTGCAACGACGGCCACGCAATATTATTTATTTAGTGAAGTAGTCGCTAATAGGACGTATATGACTGCCTCGTTGGTCTAGTGGTTGTAGTAGTGCGACTGCTGATCATGAGGTCCTGGGTTCGAATCCCGGATCGGGCCAAAAAATTAATTATTGAGTTTTTCCGTCAAAAAATTCTCAGTAGTTGCCCGGAGTCAGGAAGTTGGCGGTGTCTCACCCCCGTGCCTCGGAAAGCACGTAAAGCCGTTGGTCCTGCGCCTGATCTCTCTCCGGTCGTGTCGGTTTACCCTCCCATCGGATTATGAGAGTGAGGGAATAGAGAGTGCACCTACACTTGGGCACTATAATCCTGTCCTGCGCCGATGGCTAGCCTCCGTTGAGGCAGGCCACAGTGGCTGAAATTCGGTCTAGAGGACATTACTATTAATAGGACGTGCAGGAGATACTAAGCAAGAAATAGCCAGTATTGTTTTCTACGTATTTTTTTTTGTTCTCTATCTAGATTTAATAAGAGTACACAGCATTTTGCGTAGTAGTACTTGCTATTACTTCCTATAGAAGTAGGGGTTTGTCTTCACGCGCGGCAGGTGAATTAACGATTGCTGAACTAAAGTCCAGTCACCAAGCACAAAGAATTTCGTAGTTGCTTTGTGCCTAGTGCCAGTGGTCAAAAACATTTTATGGTAAAGTACGAATCTGAAAATTTTGCGGAGTAATAAAAATTGAAAGAGAATTAAATTTTTAATACATATCTGAAACGTGTACCTACCTCTTTAGCATTTAGATGAAATTAAGACAAATCTTCTCTTTAAAACAAAATTTTAATAGAATTAGTTACTATTTCAGTGTATGAGAAGAATTTGATTGATTTTATTTTTCTCATTAAATTCATTTATTTTCGGGGTTGTATTATTCAAGATTTTCGGTCATCACTGAAAATCATTGAGGCAGCATTGAGGTTTCACTATAACACATGCTAAATGATGTCCTTTTTGGCATGCCTTTGACGTACAGTCAAATTTGTTAAATCTACTTATACATATTTAAATTATAAATTTCTTTAATGATTTCTCATAATTAAAATTTTATATAAAATTAAACTTGATAAAATCCGTAAAGTTGGTTTATTCCATACAAGTTTCGTAACTGTTCTGTGCGGCATTGGTCCTTGTCAAAATAAAGTTTCTTTCTTCTTTCTACCTTTTAAGCCACACCAAAGAATATTGTTACGAGCTTAAGGTTCGTGACAGTAAAAACTGCCGATTGAATTACCAAAATTTACACTTTTACTACCTAACACCAATTAAATTTTAAAAGACACTAATAATTAATCACACTGATTCACTTTATTTCGCTCCGAAGCTTCGCTTGTTTCGCCAAATTCAATACTGCCCCGATCGCGGCTTGCAACGGCTTTAAATACGGACAATCTTAGGAGTCCCTCTTGCGTCTTTCTGTATCCGGTAGGTTACATCGTTGATGCTGGTCACAATCCGGTACGGGCCGTCCCATTTAGCTTGAAGCTTAGGAGATATCCCTTTACTGCGAACTGGATTGTGCAACCACACTAGTGAACCTTCGTCGAACCCTTTGTTGTTCATTTTGCGGTCATACCGGGTTTTCATCTTTTCGGACATTTGCTAGCCCGATTGTCTGACATGCTGATAAATGTCATTCATTTTGTTGCGAATGTCATTAGCATAATCAGTTATACTGCGTGGGGCATCAGGTGGTATGCCGGTGACCAAGTCTGCAGGCAGCCGTAATTCTCTTCCAAAGTTTGCAAAAGCTGGTGTCACTGATGTACTTTCGTGAACAGCGCTTCGATATAACAACAAAACCGGTTGTATATGCTTGTCCCAATTTCGTTGCCGATTGTTTACAACTTTTGCTAGGTACCTCTCCAATGTCTGATTAAATCGTTGTACCATTCCATCAGATTGCGCGTGATAAGAAGTTGTTCTTGTTTTATGAGTTTTACTTAACTCGGCAAGTTTCCTGGAATATTTGAGACTCAAAATTCCTTTCTTGGTCGCTGTGAATCTCTAAAGGTACTACAAAACGACAGAAGACTTCATGAACTAGTTTATCTGCAACTGTTAAAGCTTCTTGCTTTGGAATGGCGAAGACTTCTGGCCACTTAGTGAATTAATCCATCGCAACCATGAAATACTTGTTACTGCTTTCACTTTCCGGAAACGGCCCCGCCACGTCAATGGCTATTCTCTCCCATGGTGCACCAACATTGTACAATTTTAAGCACCTCTACTTCGAGTCTGAGGTCCCTTCACAGCCGTACAACTTGTACATTTGCGACACCAATCCTCGACATCGTCACGACAATGGACCCAGTAAAACCGTTCTCGGATCTTCAGTAGAGTTCGTTTAACTCCCAGATGGCCTATTGAACAACCATTACAGTACAGCTGTAGAACATCCAGTACTTTAACTTAAGGGACAACCATTTGCAAATGACAGCTGTCTTCCCGACCATTTTCCCATTTACGGCACAGAACTCTATCATCTATCCTGAATCAGCAAGCTATCCCAGTGAGCCCAATAGCTTTTCGTAGTACGTTTTCGTAAAACCGTTCTCGGATCTTCAGTATAGTTCGTTTAACTCCTAGATGGCCTCCTGAACAATCATTATGGTACAGCTGTATAACATCCGGTACTTTCGCTTTTGGGACAACCATTTGCAGATGACAGCTGTCTCTTCGAACGTTTTCCCATTTACGGCACAGAACTCCATCCTGAAGCAGCAGCTGTCCCATTGGGCCCAATAGCTTTTAGTGGTCTAACTCATCGCCGAGACATCGCTCCACTTGAGCTTGCGAGCACTGGCCTTCATCCATTGCAGAATCGTCTTGATGTCCGGATCTTCGTGCTGTGCATGTTGTAAGCTGTCTTTCCATTCGTTGCTGAGGTGGTCTGTCCTGAGCATCCTCACGGATACCACTTCCTTACTCTCTTGTCTAGTACAATGTTTGCAATCTTCAGGACAAGGTCTTCTTGACAATGCATCTGCGTTGCCATGAGATTTCCCGCTGCGATGTTCGATCTCAAAGTCATATTCCTGCAGTAGTTCAATCCACCTCGCAACTTGTCCTTCTGGATTTTTAAACTGCAATAGCCATTTTAGTGCAGCATGGTCAGTTCGTAAGTGAAATTTTCGCCCCAGAAGATATTTGCTAAAATGCTGCAACGACTTTACCACAGCTAGCAATTCGCGTCTTGTGACACAATAGTTCCTTTCCGGTTTTGACAACGACTTGCTGAAGTACGCTATCACGACCTCTTGGTCACTATTCCGTTGAGACAACACACCGCCAAGTCCTATATCACTTGCGTCTGTGTCAACTATAAATTCTTTGCTTTCATCCGGGTATCCCAAAATAGGTGTTTTGCTCAGACGGTCCATGAGCTCCTGGAATGCGATATTACAACTTTCATCCCAGCAGAAATGTCGCTTCTCCTCGGTTAGCTTGTGCAGAGGTTTGGCTATATCTCCAAAGTTCTTCACAAATCGCCGATAATAGGAGCACAAACCCAAAAATGCTCTAACCTGCGTCTTGTCTTTTGGAACCGGCCAGTCCTTGACAGCGGCGATTTTTTCCGGATCCGTGCGGATACCTTCTTCCGACCCTACATACCCCCCAAAAAGTTGACTTGCCGTTTGAATAGTGAACATTTCTTCGGACTCAACTTGAGGTTGGCACTCTGAATCTTCATGAGCACGCATTCCAGGTCTTAAAGGTGTTCCTCAAGCGTACGGCCCACGATGATGATGTCATCCAACTAGACCAGACAGGCATTGGCAATTAGCCCGGTAAGTACAAGTTCCATCAGCCTTTCAAAAGTTACTGGAGCATTGCACAATCCAAACAGCAGTACTTTAAATTGCCACAGACCCTTTTCCATCGAGAACGCAGTTTTCTCCTTGTCCTTAGGGTCAATTTCAACTTGCCAGTAGCCACTTTTTAGATCCAGCGTGCTAAACCACTTTACTCCTGTAAGCATGTCCAGCGTGTCATCAATTCTTGGCAAGGGATAGCTGTCCTTCTTTGTAATGTCGTTCAAACGGAAGTAGTCAACACAAAACCGTATAATGCTGTCCTTTTTTTTACCAGCATCTCGGGTGAACACCGTGAACTAGATGAAGGTTCAATAAAACCATCCTTCACCATTCCCTCAATCAGGGTTTCCACTTCTTTTTCACGTGCTACCGGCAATCTTCTTGGTCGCTGGCGGATAGGCAATTCTTCTCCTGTGTTTATTTTGTGTTGAACTAAGCCGGTCTTCCCTATGTCAGCATCGTTTGACGAGAATACATCGACGTACTTTAGTAACAACTTCTTCGCCTTGACCACTTCATTCTGGGACAGAACACTGCGACAGTCATCTAAAAGTGTGGTCACTCCCGTTTGTGCATCCTTGCTGGGGGTCCCAGTCGATAGATATTGGCACTGACGCAACCAATCCACTTCCTCACAAGTACCAACCAGTGTGCCTTTTTCTATAATCTGTTCCTGGTCACAAAGGTTCAGACAACATACTCCTGAGATGTTAGTGGTTCTGACCAAGGTTCGAGCCACTTTCCATGGAAGGTCATTGTCTAACCTTTCCACGAGTACACAATGATGAGGTTGCCCAGGATTCTGAGGAAGACTAACCGGCACAATCGTTTCCGATCTCGGCGGAAGAACAATCTTCTTACGGCTGTACACATTCCCTGGTAACACCCCTTCCACAAAAAGTTCCCCGTGTCCACATTTCAAAACACCTTGCTTAACGTCAATCTCACAATAACTCTTTCTCATGAAGTCTAGGCCTAGGATGCAGTCGTCCATTATATCAGCCACGATGACATTATACAGGTAGATCGTGTTGCCTAGCTTCAACTCCATCTCCTTCTCTCCACGGACGGGTATACGCTGACCAGTGGCTGTTACCAAATTAATGCGTTTTCGGTTGTATGCGGAGTCCCCAAGGAACTGACTTATAAGTTGGGAACTAACAACCGTACGAGAGGCTCCAGTGGTCAGTTTACACGGCATTCCATTGATCTCGCCCTTGATGATTAGGCTGTTCCCATCATGGGTTTGTGAGATCGATCTTTGGGGCTGTTTTAACATCAGCCGGCACCCACCCCGCAGTTCTGGCTTTTACTCGTTTCCCTGCTGCTGCTGGGCGGTGCTATTAGCCGCACTACCATCCTGAGATCTTTCACCTTCCCTTTCTAGGGTTCGCTTAGGGTAGCTGGATCGAAGATAACCCCTTTCCCCACAGCCATAGCAAATAGGGCTGTATCCTTTATTGCGGTCGCGAACTGTAGCTGCTGCAACCTCTCTGACGCTATGGGAACGAAGATCCTGCCGCACGGCTTCCACCTCCAGTGCATGGGCCAAGGCGTCCTTAAGCGTCTCGTGGTGCCCGAGCCTCACAGCAGATCTGACTTCAAGGTCACGGATGCCGTCGATGTCTGCACCAGGTTTCCTTCAATGAGCGCAGGTACAGACTGGTATGCTTTTCTAACCATCTTCTCCACCTCAAGGGCCCACTGCTGCAGGTTTTCGTCGCTGCGTTGCACGCGATCTTTAAGGTGCGCACGAAAGACGTGTTTCAGATGAGCGTCGCCATATCTCGCCTCCAATGCCTCAAGGAGCTGCTCGTAGGTCACTTTCGTATCGAGAGCTTCCAACACAGTTAAGGCTTGGTCGCGTAGGTCTAGGGTGAGTGCAGTCATGGCCTGGCTTTTATTCCAGCCGTTCGCCTCCATGACAGCCTCGAACTAGATTTTGTAGGCTGACCAGGAAGAAGTCCCGTCGTATGGCGGCACTTTGAACCCACGTAGCGAAGGTGTTGTAGCTACTACGGGAGCTGTAATTCCATCCCCCAGTTTGAGGTCGTCCTGTGTTTTCTTCACGTCAGCCATCACATTGTCAACCGATTGTTCACTTGGTCGATTTGGGTTTCAGCTTCCGACAGGCGGTTGTCATGCTGAGCAACCCTGTAGCGTGAAGGTCCTTCATGAGGAGCATCTGCTATTCCAACCGACGGGCCTGTTCCTCTTGTCCGCCCGCAGCTGCTCTTCCAAACGACGGACCTGGTCCTCTTCTCCGCCCCGCAGCTGCTTTTCCAAACGACGGACCTGTTCCTCCTGTCCACCCCGCAGCTGCTCTTCCAACCGACGGACCTGTTCCTCCTGTCGGCGGGCCTGTTCCTCCTGTCGGCGAGCCTGCTCCTGCGGCATCACCATCAGAGCACCAAGTCAGGTGCTGCAGGTGTAGAAGCTGCTGACAGGCCAGCCTCCGTGGCTGGCAGTTGGCCCTCTGACGTCTGCAGCGTTGCACTACGAAATCGTCTCTGGTCCGTCTCCTGCTGGCGTTGACTTCGGGTACGGACACCCTCCATTTCATCCTTAGGTAAAATCGGCATTATTTTATCTCACTTCTGACACCAATTGTTACGAGCTTAAGGTTCGTGACAATAAAAACTGCCGATTGAATTACCAAAATTTACACTTTTACTACCGAACACCAATTAAATTTTAAAAGACAGTAATAATTAATCACACTGATTCACTTTATTTCGCTCCGAAGCTACGCTTGCCTCGCCAAATTCAATATTGCCCTGATCGCGGCTTGCAGCGGCTTTAATACACCTTTTCCACCGAAACATCCGGAATATTCCAGTAAATACGGGCGCCGACCGACCAGGCGCAGAAATTTCGAGTGTGGGGCTTCTAGAAAGCTTAATTCTTCTGTTCGATACCAGATGGCGCTGTTAGTGGAAAGTTCAAGATTGACATTCTTTAGGAAGCCCTCCTCGCTCTGGTCCCCGACACTACATGGCGCTAGTGCCAGGTACCAGACGTCAACTTAGGCGCGCAAAAATGTTTACAAAAGCAAGCCTTGTTGTTATGAGTAATAAGTAATGACGGGTCATTAGATGAAATTATTCGTATTCGGCGATCAGCTTTAAGCGTGACTTTTGATTGTTTCCCATAACTTGTTTAGTTATTTAAAGCTTGGCGTAACGTTAGAAAAATGGATATGAGGCTATCTATCGGATGACCATAGTACGTTATTGCGTATTCCATAATCAACGCTTCCGACAATCACGGGACGAAATTGGATGATGGATTCCCTAACACCGCAAGCCACACCATTGGGAGCGCAAGACCACATTTGGTTATCGTTATTGTTACATCATATTAAAAGTCTACTGTTGAACATAGGACTCCCTCCATAGATTTCATCATATAGGGATATTTGGTAGTTGCCACGCTTGGCAAAAGGGTGGGTAGCTGCAGTTTTTTATCATATTTAGTTGTAGTTAAGAGTACGTTGCTGTCCATACCCTGCTTTATTTCTCTCTAGCGTCTCCTACGACACATACGTGACGATATGGGGTGGTGAATATTGTTACACCACCAGTACGCGATCACAAGGTTACAAGGTCATCAGTCTGCGGTGCACAAAAATAAACTCTAATTACATAGGATTAAGGAGCAAAATGTATCGGCACTGACCCATCAGCGAGCGCGGAGTCGATGGCGGCACTGGTGCGCTGCGTGTGCGCGTGCAGCGCCTCGTCCAGCAGAGCGCGCGGCGCGCGCACCTCGCCGCGCAGCGCGCGCGCCTCGCGCCCCAGCTGCACCACCAGTTCTGAGCAACATGCGTCACACTCCGTACAACTCATACGCTAGACGCTTATACGCTATATATATGTGTGTATATATATATATATATATAAAATATTAACAGTCATACTACCCCAAACATGCGTTTGTTAAAAACTAATTTTTCCAGCACCACCACCAAAATTGTTACTTTCAATATTAAGTGCTCAGATGTGAAAGTAAGTGCCATGATAAAAACGAATGTCCCAGTAATTAAAAATATCTTAAAGACATGCCAAGTTCGCACATTTCGTATACGAGCAGCATGGCGAATACTTTTCTACTTTATAAAACTGTCACAAATGAAGCTACTCTGTGTTCAGAGGTGAGCCTTTTGAAGCATAACAAATGGTGCGCTAGTTTTTCATTTTATATTGATATGCTATTGACTATAAATTTGCATAGTTATAAATGAAAATACAAGTAATATGAAATATGAAAAAAATACATTAATATCTTAAACAAATTTATGGATCGTTTCATTTTCAAAAACTATATTTTTTTATTTTGAATTATATTTCACCATAAATTAATTTTAAAAACATTAAATGCATTTTGATAATAGCTGGAGATTTATTTCTGCTTTTTTTTTTCATATAATTTTATTACAAAAGTTTAACTTTACGATGATACTCCAGGCCAGTGCCGAATGTGTCTTATTACAGATCTATCAGAACTATCCAACAACTACACTAAAGACTAGAGTATACACTGTTGTATGGGAAAAGTGATATCATTTTAATTTCTATATATTAGACATGATGAAACTAAATACAAGGATATTAATCCTATGCTCGCCAGCTTACTACCCCAGGCATATTAAGCAAGTTCTATTTTTTATAAATGGCCAATTCTTATTGTTTATAGGATTCAAAACAGTAACAAAGAAAAAAGGTAACAAAACACTAACCCGTGAGTTTATCAATTTTCTGTTCGACCGCCTCAAGTCGCATGCGAGATGCTTCATCGGCGGCGTTACGCTCAGGTGCACTGAACGGTGCATTGTGCGGAGCACTGGGTGGGACACTGAGAGGGGCACTGAGTGGGGCATTGTGCGGAGCACTGAGCGGAGCGTTGAGTGGGGCATTGTGTGGAGCACTGAGCGGAGCGTTGAGTGGAGCACTCAGCGACGGAGCGAGTGGCACACTCAGCGGTGTACTCAACGGCGCGCTAACACTCTGGCTGCTGGATTTGTCACTGGACGCCTTGCGTTGGTTCGCTTCTGTGATTTGCGCGAGCGAAATCTGCGGCCACGACGTGTCGCTGTCTGAAAAAGTTACACTATATTCACATACATTGTAAAATTGCAAACTAATTGATTGTTTTACTGACAATTTACCAATTGGTGGTTGTGTAAAATAACAAATCATTCTATGACATTTTTCAAAAATCATTCTAGGTCTAAGCAAATCTTACGAATGTAGCCGTAGTATAAAACCATATGGAGGCAGCACAAGAGAAACGATTAACCGATCGTATCCAATGGATATCATAAAAGGCGATTTATGAAAAGGCCCAAAACTTCCAAATCCAAATGGCCTAGCTACTGTAATGTAAGCTCTTAGTGTAAGTAGTTTATTTTGAAAACGTCGTATGTACAGTGGAGAAGGGCCTAACCACTATAATTCTAGCTCTTAGTGTAAGTAGTTTAATTAGAAAACGTCGTATGTACAGTGGAGAAGGGCCTAACCACTATAATTCCAGCTCTTAGTGTAAGTAGTTTAATTAGAAAACGTCGCATGTACAGTGGAGAAGGGCCTAACCACTATAATTCTAGCTCTTAGTGTAAGTAGTTTAATTAGAAAACGTCATATGTACAGTGGAGAAGGGCCTAACCACTATAATTCTAGCTCTTAGTGTAAGTAGTTTAATTAGAAAACGTCGTATGTACAGTGGAGAAGGGCCTAACCACTATAATTCTAGCTCTTAGTGTAAGTAGTTTAATTAGAAAACGTCGTATGTACAGTGGAGAAGGGCCTAACCACTATAATTCCAGCTCTTAGTGTAAGTAGTTTAATTAGAAAACGTCGTATGTACAGTGGAGAAGGGCCTAACCACTATAATTCTAGCTCTTAGTGTAAGTAGTTTAATTAGAAAACGTCGTATGTAGTGGAGAAGGGCCTAACCACTATAATTCTAGCTCTTAGTGTAAGTAGTTTAATTAGAAAACGTCGTATGTACAGTGGAGAAGGGCCTAACCACTATAATTCTAGCTCTTAGTGTAAGTAGTTTAATTAGAAAACGTCATATGTACAGTGGAGAAGGGCCTAACCACTATAATTCTAGCTCTTAGTGTAAGTAGTTTAATTAGAAAACGTCGTATGTACAGTGGAGAAGGGCCTAACCACTATAATTCTAGCTCTTAGTGTAAGTAGTTTAATTAGAAAATGTCATATGTACAGTGGAGAAGGGCCTAACCACTATAATTCTAGCTCTTAGTGTAAGTAAACTCTGATTTTTCATTCCGTAGAATTCTGACAGCTATCATTTTTTGACATGTCAGAGATTACAAACCTTTTTGGCCGGGCACATTTTTCAATTTCAATACGTGTCTGAACATCTGAGTCTATACATACATTTTATTTGTTAGTAAATGTATCCATTTTATTAAGTGCGGTACTCTACATGGTTTTACGGCGAGTGATAATTACGTCCCTTTTCATTACAAACAGTAAAAAATGCACAAGTAAAAATAACATATTTTTATTAAAATCTTTAGTCATCATTAATACTTATATCACTATCTTCATCATCGTCATCATCGCTGACATGAATTATTAAAGAGTCTGCGACTGTGTCAATGAAATCGTCGAGAGTGCACATCTTATCTTCTTCTTTGATTGTATGGCTGATACATTCTTGCCATTTATCAGGAGTAATACTACTTATACTTTCCAGTAATAGTTTTTTAACTTCCGCCATTTTAAAACTTCTGTTGTGTCTTGCGACATGCCCCTTCACTTGAGCCCACACCAATTCAATAGGGTTGAGCTCACAATGATATGGGGGCAGTCTAAGCACAGTAATGCCTTGTGCTGTGGCCATCTCGTCTACAATACACTGTTGATATTTGTATTTCTCCTGACCCACAATTTCCAATAAATTAACTTTTAGCATTTTTTCTTCAAAATTTAAATTTTTTGAAGTCAACCACGCTTGGATATCGCCTTTTCTCCATGCACTCGTTGGTACTTTTTCGACCTTCCTCGAATGATAGGGAGCATTATCCAACACTACTACCGAGTTTGGTTTTAATTTTGGAAGTATTTTTGTGAACCACTCCTCAAATACTTCCCCAGTCATCTCCTTGTGGTAATCTGCCAAGCCTTTTTTTGCCTCAAAAACTAATAAACCATCTTCCAAAAATCCTTCTTCGCTCCCTATATGGCTAACTATAAGTCGCCCCCCCTTGCCTGTTGGTGCCTTAAGCCCTGTTGTCAAGCCATCGAGGAAAGCTTGTCGTGAAGATTGAATGTTGGTATCACACCACACTTTATTGACGGTATGTCCTGAAAATAAAAATATATTTAATATTTCACTTATACATGAGGACAGTTATATATGCATATAAATTGAAAAATATTACCTGTAAACATGGATTTCTTTATTTATTTATTCATTTTGGTAACAAAAATTTATTAACAAAGTTAATTTAAGTATTACATAAGTACAGAATTCGATTTCCGACTAATACTTTGAAGAAAAGATAGGTTATAAAAAGTTAATTACCACATAATTCAATACTTGCCTTCGTTTACCCACGTTTCATCCTGGTAATATATAAGCCTGCCTTCTCTTCTATATTGTTTAATTTGGTGCAAGTATTTTTGACGCCATAGTACTATCTCCTTGCGATCTGTTAGCGCACTTCGACGTTTGCGACTTGTGTATTTAAAATTTAAATGCTTCAATACTTTTCTTAATGTTGATTTCGACATAACAGGCATGTCTGGATCACCAGTTATCTCTTGGTGAATCTGAAATAAGCATTTACATTACAGTTAAAATGTAGACAGGCAACACAGGTTAAAGTATAGTTTTAAAACAATGGGGGATGTCAGCAACGAGGTGTTAAAGAATTAGCAATAACTTTACCTTTTCAATAGTCGGAATCTCGTTCCTGTAGAAAAACGCGTGAACCTTTCGTCGAGTTGCGGCGAAAGTGAATTCGTCAAATTTTTGTATGAAAGATAGTTGAGGTCCACTCTTTTTCGGCTTTTGAAATTCTTTTGTGTCTTTATATTCTTTGGTAATTTTATAGACACTTGACAGACCCACGCCAGTCATCTCAGAAGTCTTTTTAGCACATTCCGTTGCACTCCAATCAGTTGTTTGCGGCCAATTTTCTATATTATATTTGTAAATATTTAGAATTATGGTCTTTTCGTTGGGCGTAAAAGCACCACGAGGACGCTTCTTTCTGGGAGAAAGAAAGTCTAAGCCTTGTGCTCTGTCAGATGGGGCTGCTTCCCGGGAAGGGCCAGGTTGTGGCTCCATAACGTTTATAAAAATCAACAAACGATCACAAAACGAAAGGTCAACAAGAAAAAACTTAACAGAATAACAGAAACTTAACAAATATAACAAGATAATAACAACAAATAGCAGCAAACACCGAGAACACATGCGCATTCGAGCATTCAAAGAAGTCGAATGAAAATCAATCAATGTGACAGACGCGACGTGACAGCTAACATTTTTTTAAAAGGTTTTTTAAACCTGGAATTAGTAGACAGTGATGCCAGCTAAAGAATAAAATATTAAGTAATTAAAGTTAATTAGATATATTGTTCGTGATATTGAAATATTTGTTATTTTTGTATTAGGTGACTTGTATAAGTAAATATTTAGATTTACCTTTTTGTAGGTGAAACATAAAAAATACGTAGCATTTTATTATTTATTGCCCTCAAATGGTTCAAATTTGTCTCTTTTTCGGTGGAGAACTTTTTTAGTAGCAACACTTACGAAATGTCAGAATTCTACGGAATGAAAAATCAGAGTTTAGTTTAATTAGAAAACGTCGTATGTACAGTGGAGAAGGGCCTAACCACTATAATTCTAGCTCTTAGTGTAAGTAGTTTAATTAGAAAACGTCATATGTACAGAGGAGAAGGGCCTAACCAGGCCCGTGACAGCTTAGTTCCATTCTACGCAACTTGGCGCTACCGTCGCAATTTTTACTCTGCCTACGGACGCCATTTTGAGACGCCATATTCTATTAATGTCAAATCATATTGTCAAAACTATCGATATTGATTGCCGCCATTTGCCGCCATTATTTATCTAAATTTTTCTCAATTATTACAATATTCTGTTTTTGTGCTGCTCGTGTGAATATTGCATATATCATCATAATGGTATACGAAAAGTGTTGTGTTGGTGGTTGCAATACAACACGTGAAACGCACCGGCTTTTCAGATTCCCTAGGAACGATAATTTAAGGAACTTGTGGATGGCTTTCATAGTGCCGACAAATCCCCAGCTCATTGTACTTTCCAAAGAACAGTTACTTAACAAACGTGTCTGTGAAAAACATTTTGATGTATTTCAGTTCGGCAATGAAGGCAGAAGACTTCGATACTCTTACCCGTCCTTGCTTACTGACAATGAAATAGCTCATGGTGTGCCTCTGACTGCAACTGGTGAGTTATTTTATTACTTTCAACCATGGTACTTAAAAGAGAAGGAGACGTCTCTATACATTCTTGGGCCCAAGTATTAACAAGATAAAAGTACGACCGTTTGTAAGTGTCATTGACTCTACATCATTATTTGCTATGATAGTGTAATTTTTTCAGGATGGGATGTCACAACTGAACATAATTACTGTAAAGAGCAAAATGAAGATGATTTCACAGAAGCTGTGTTAGTGGTTAGAAAGCCTGGTATGTACAAATATCTTAATTGATGTTAATTGTAAATCATAGTAAACATATTATGATGAACACTGATTTCTAAAAATATTTTATTTAAATTACAGTCAGTGGCAAATTTTTCAACATTTTGAATAATGTTTTCAGGAAGTGATGTTACGATTGAACACAATTACTACAAAGAGCAAAATGATTGTTCCAAATCATCGGTAGAGATTGGATCGTCAGGTCTGTACTAATATTCATGTAGCACTAGTTACTAAGTAGCAAAAAAAGCTTTCTAACTATTTCATAAATTTACTAACCATTCATTTTCTAATAATGTGTTTGCCTAATCATACTGACATCTATAAAAATGCAATCTTGTAACAAATTTCAGATGTTGGAAATTCTCATGAACAGCCTTCATGTTCAAATTTTTCAACTGTTGCAACAGTTGTTGAAAATAAAGGTATGGGAAATTGTATTGGACATAATTTTTTATACATTTATGTAGGGATCAAATTAAAAGAAGTACTTATATATCGGGTAATAGAAAAAATACTTTAAATGCTTAAAAACAGGCTGTGGACTGGAGTTGTCACTGCATACCTGGAACTGCATGAGTTCTAGAGGATGGTTACGTGTATTTAATTTAGACATACAATACAGAGAAGCATACATTGTAAATTTAATTTATGTTTAAGACCATAACATTCATAACTATTGCTTCTTTTCAGGAATTGATTCTAATACTAATGTGGTGAAACAAATGATGCCAAAAGGTAGCACATGTACAAAAAAGCAAACAGGTATGATAAATTCAGTTTATTCTTAGACATAATTAGAAAAAGTTTCAATATCTACCTCAAATCACAATAAGAGTTTTTTGTTCTTCACCTAATCCCAATATTACAGTTCCACTACACTTCAATGGTTTTATCAACAAGTCCTTTACTGTTAAGGTTACATTTTTCTGGAACTCTTCCTCTGATGACATCCACTTTATTTGTTATCTTATCAAAGTGAATACATTAAAAGATTAAAATAAAAATGTATAAATAAAAAATTAATAATTTTAAGTGTATCATTCACGACCTGTATATGCTGGTGGCTTAGGACCGTGATTTGTGGCATTTCTTGGGGGAAGCCTACGTTCAGCAGTGGACTTGTGAAGCGCTGTAATGATGACGGTGGTGAAATAAAATTCTAAAAATTAAGTTATATGATAATATAGATCACTTTTGAATTATGATTATACTAAACTGTCGTAAACAGTAGCCATACAGCATTAATACATACAATACAGAAGTATACATTATATATTTATTCTTTAATTTTGGGTTTATGTATAAGAACAAAATTCACAAATATTGTTGGTTTTCAGAAACAGAAATCTAATGCTGATGTGGTGAGACAAATGTTGACAGAAGATACAAAATGTACACATTGGCAAAAAGGTATGATAAATTCAGTTTATTCTTAGACATTAAGTAAGTTTCAACATATCTATTATATCTATATTCAGCATATTATCCTCAAATCACGGTAAGAGTTCTTTGTTCTTCATCAAATCTAAAGATTACAGTTCCACTACACTTCAATGGTTTTATCAACAACTCCTTTAGTATTAAGGTTACACTTATTTGGAACTCCGTGCCTGAAGACATTGAGAAATCTCCTGATAATGGATGTATACAGTGTTAATCTTTATATGTTTTTTATTTCTTATTTACTGCATCTACCACTTTATTTTCACCACACCATGGGTTGACCAATAAAAAATGGCAACTGCCATGATGCCACCCTTTGTTACCTTAATATAAATAATATACAATTTATGATTATCATTAAGTCATAAAATATGAATATTGAACTTTATTTTTATTTATTTCTTTTCAGGTTACGTTAGAAAATGAAATTAAAGAAGAGAAGATGTTTTTTATTTTTTGTAAAAGAATTCCCAGGTTTACCCCTAATGAAAAATAAATAGCATTGCTTCTAATAAAAAATGACTTGAAAGTAAAATATTAAGCACTTAAATATGATTCCTGTGGTTTAATTTGCTTTATTTAATGAACTGTAAATATTGCTCTGTTTCGTCAAATTGTACTTATTTATGTAAAATGTTATGTACAATTTTCTAATTTGTATATATGACTTAATGTGCCTTTAATTTAATCCTAAGATTACGTTTGTATGTATATGATGTTGGTGTGCTTGAATAAAAAATAAATAAGTTAGATGTATTATAATTGTTTCATTAAGTATTATTATTCCTGTATAATGCACTTATGTCGATATCGACAAAATAAGAACACCACTAAACATCGATATCGATAATTAGAAGGCTGTGTGCTTGCAATCCCTAAGCTATACTAAATTGTATAGTCATGACGTCATTATTCTTCTGTCAAATTGGGCGACTGCAGCGCCAAAAGGCGTAGTTGGGAAACTTGACTAAAAGTCGCTGTCGTATCTGTAGCTTGCTACATATTTATTTTATCTATGGGCCTAACCACTATAATTCTAGCTCTTAGTGTAAGTAGTTTAATTAGAAAACGTCATATGTACAGTGGAGAAGGGCCTAACCACTATAATTCTAGCTCTTAGTGTAAGTAGTTTAATTAGAAAACGTCTTATGTACATTGGAGAATGGCCTAACCACTATAATTCTAGCTCTTAGTGTAAGTAGTTTAATTAGAAAACGTCGTATGTACAGTGGAGAAGGGCCTAACCACTATAATTCTAGCTCTTAGTGTAAGTAGTTTAATTAGAAAACGTCGTATGTACAGTGGAGAAGGGCCTAACCACTATAATTCTAGCTCTTAGTGTAAGTAGTTTAATTAGAAAACGTCGTATGTACAGTGGAGAAAAGCTTAACCACTGTAATGCTAGCTCTTAGTGAAAGTAGTATATTAGAAAACGTCGTTAACTCACTGGTGTGCGTGAGTTTGGCCGGCGGTGAGTGTTTCTCTGGAGCGACGTACAGCTCGGTCGCGAACAGAGAGTCGCCGCCGTTCGGCACCGCCGCCTGCTTCCCAATCACCGCCGTCTGACTCGACTCACCCTCCTCCTACAAACGATACACAGAGAACGATCATAACGTATGTTCTTTGTTGCGTTCTACCGTAAAATGAAACGCAACAGTGATAAATAGCCAGGGCCTATCAAAAATTTAAATTTACATACAAACACAATCGTTCATAATGTTTCAAGACACAATATTATAGTGTAACATTACACATTAGTGCTTTGCATTTATCTTTCAATATAGAAATTGATCATATCATTAAGTTCTTAAATTATATGCAAACACGATTAAAAGCACATTTTTTATTATTGATTTCATTTAAATCAATGTATTCATCATCCAAGAGCTCCTGCCGCATCCGGGATTAGGATCTTGGGCAAAAATCCACGAAAACAAAAGAAGATATATACAAATAAAGACATAAATGCGGGTACGCGTGTTTGATGTCACGCGGGTACGCGTGACATCAAGCACGAGCGTGCAATCAGCCGCCCGAACTGCCTCTGGGAAAGGGCTGGACTGAAAACCAGTGTTATCACTGAGTCCGATCCGTCGATCGATCGTCGTCGATCCGATCGCGGTTTAATGCAGCACAGGGTATTTTTTAAATATTTTGTCTTAAATTTATAATGTTGTTAAATTATTATTACTTTTAATAATCTTTTGACATTAAATTACTTTTTGTGCTTATTATTCGTGCTTAAACTGGAATAAAATGCATTTCTTTCTTTCTTATATACACTCTGTAAATACCAGGCATAAACACAAGATAGTGATACGAGTTTCTAGACGCCACAGAGTCAGGTAATTTATTTATTGGTCAATGTATACGCTATTACAACAAAGCCCCAGAAAATATACATGGTCTCTTTATTACCAGGTTTAAATACTAAATTAAACAAAAACATTATAAAAAAAGGTTATTATAATATAAATGAATACAAAATAACAACGAAATGAAATTGAAGTGATTAAAAACAATTTACAGTTTTAAATACATAAGATTATTTGGGAGCAACAACTTTTAAAAAATAAGAGACAAGTAAGATCATCAAATACTGAAACTAACTATTTGTTAGACATACCATTTCGTCTTTGTAATACGGTTGGTCGTTATGCGACATAATCTGTTGCACCTCACGGCTGGGACTCGAACCCCCTGACGGCGGTTTCACCTCACCTGCCACTGCCACTACATCCTCTTGCCCTGTAAAATATATAACTTAAAAGAAAACATGATACCGGATCGCTAAGTATTATCAAGGAAGCGTGCAAGTGTGTGCCTCAGACAATTTTATACGCAGTAGAGCCTTGCTGCGGCTACATTATGGTAGTAGCACGAGTGGGTCAGCTTGACCGGTAATGGCATTGTAAAATAGCAGTTTAATGCTGCTGTTTTTCGTATAATGTAAGTAAAGTAAAGTTACAGCCTATATACGTCCCACTGCTGGGCTCAGGCCTCCCCTCATTTCTGAGAGGGTTTAGGGCAAGGAAGTGTCCACCGCGCTGCCCAAATGCGTGTTGACGAACTTCACATGTCTTCGAAATATTTTTTTCTTATTCCTCAACATGCCGCCGAGCACGTGGTAAATCAGCACTTAAAATTGCAATTAACAATTTCATTGGTGCCGACGGGGATCGAATCCGGGTTACTCGCGTTCTGTTATATTTACAGCGAGCGTTAACCACTGAGCTACCACGGCTCTTTATAATGAGTGCAGAAAAGCATTCATTATTTACCCACCTTAGTTCCCATGGGTGACAACACATTTGCATTTTGATTCTTCATCAACCTTTGATTGGCTTACTGTAGTTATTATATTATTATTTTATTATCTACCTTAATTATTATAGCTATTGGTCTTTCAAATAAAATACAATAAATAAAAATAGATGTCGATTTCTATAGGCCACAGAATCCACTTACCATCAACTGGATGGTGTGCTTGTATGTCTACGTTTTGCTTTAAAAATATATATACATAATTATAGAAAACTTACCGCTAGTGGATGTTCGCGGTTTGTTGGCAACATCAGGTGTGGCTGACAGGGGGGGGTCCTCTTCATCGCGTTTGCCAGGAGAGCTGAAAACGTTTTTAAAACATTTTATAAATATCTACATATCCTCTACGTACTATTACGGCGCGAAGAATCCATCGTCTCCTCAAGTCCCATGGGTAATAACTAAATAGGTTGCAAAAATACTAATATTTAGTGATTTCATGAAATTACGTAAAGGAAAACCGTTAGGCACCCTGATTTTACTAATACTAGAGTGAAACAAATTCTAACTTGTTTCAATTCCTGGAAAGAATTAGAAAACCGGTTTCCAAGATAGGTGTTGGTCTTGTTCCGTTAAGCAAAGTATGTAGGGCAACACATGCGCCCCCCCCCCCCCCGCTCTACTTCACTAGATGGAAAACAAATATTTTACAGGCATCGACAACCCGATTGCTAACCGCCTGTTCACTGTTTACAGTTTGGTTATGTAGAAGAAGGTATTATAATATATACATAAACACTCACGCCTGTCACCCAGAGAGGTAAGCAGAGACTACAGACTTCCATTTAGCACGATCCTGACATACCTCTCTCGCCTCTTCCACATCCATATACCTACGCATACATGCTCGTCGGTTAAGGATACTCTTAATTAGACCCATTTTTAGTATATCGTCAATTTGGTCGACAAACTTTCGCCTAGGACGTCCCGTTCCGACTCTTCCATTCACTTCTGCAACATATATTTGCTTTGTCAGTCTTTCCGCATTCATTATTTCTACATGACCAAACCACCGAAGCATTCATTTCTTAATTCTGGTCACCGCATCATCTTGCAAACCACACTCTCCTTTTATCACAGAGTTTCTCACCCTGTCATACTCCTTAGTGACCGCATTTCTACTGCATTTATTCTACTCTCGTGCTTCTTCTGATACACCCAACTTTCACTACCATACGTTAAAGTAGGGACTAATTCAGCATTGTAAATTGACATACGAGCCTTTTTTGACACATTATGACTTTTCACAATAGAGTGTAGAGCCCCATTAACTTTATTTCCTGCATTCACTCGTCGTTCAATATCCTTATCATATCTCCCATCTCTGATGAATACACATCCCAAATATACGAACTCATCTACTTGCTCAATTAACTCTCCTTCTATTCTTATTTCACATACCGTTTTGCTTTCTTCTCTTTCAAAAACCATCACTTTCGTCTTACTTGCGTTCACTTTCACTCCCCTTTCTTTTAATGACCTGTTCATAAACGTAACCATCATTTGCAATTCGGCCGCCGACGACGCAAGTATGACTTGATCATCGGCGTACAAAAGGCATTTGATGGTTAACTCACCCATTTTTAACCCGCATTCTTCAACTTTAAAATTTTCTAAACAACTGTCCATAAATAGGTTGAACAGCCACGGGGAAGCTACACAGCCCTGTCTGACACCTTTATGGATGCCAAACCAGTCCGAGTAGCCCCCTTGATCCTAACACAAGCACTCGAGTCCCTATACAGAGACTTTAATGCCTGTATTAAACCAACGCTCAACCTAAATGAGTTCAGCCTTTGCCATAACACATCCCTGTCCACTCTGTCATAAGCCTTTTCCAAGTCCGAATGAACGCACAAAAAACTTTTTGGTTTTTCGCCAAAAACTTCTCCGCGATCATGCGCATGGAAAAGACTGATCTCTTTACACTCCATTTCCTTTCTAAATCCCGCTCGCACATCCCAAATTTTTACAATTTCATAACTCTTTCAATTAGGACCTTAGCATACAGTTTTCCTACAATGCTAAGAAGGCTGATACCACGGTAGTTTTTACAGTCCTGCTGTGACCCTTTTCCCTTATATATGGGGACTATCACGACTTTGCACCAGTTTCCCGGTACCCGCTTTAGTTCCCAACATAAATTAAACAAGGTGTATAGCAGGCCTGCCACCACTTCCTCTCCAGCCCTTAGCATTTCGAGTGAAACTCTATCATATCCTGCTTTTGCATTATTTCATCTATACTTATCTCCCTATCTCTTTTATCTTCTTTCGGAATTTCTATTTCATTTAGTTTACACGTCTCCTCACTTATAAATACGCTTTCAAAATATTTCTTCCATCTCTTTAGACCCAACACTTCATCATTCAGAATACAGCCATTCCCGTCTCGTATCGCATTCAATCTAGGCTGTTTTAAATGTCCCCTGGTATTTCTGAAGAGTTTCCAGAACATTTTAATATTTGCCTGGAAGTTATCTGATATTCTTCTATCATTCTTATCCGTTATTTCTTGCTTTTTCCTTTCAACTAATTCTTTTACTCTTTTATTTAGACCTTTAAACTCTGCCTTTTTTCTTTCAATCTCTTCATTCATACCGCCAGAATTACCAGCCTTGGTTGCTAGTAAATCTAGCCATGCTCTCTTCTTTGCTTCAACTTCCATACGTACCTCATCATCGCACCATAACGTATTGTCTTTCCTTTCATTCCTTCTCTTACTAACACCACATACTTCGGTAGCTTCATCCACTAAACCTTTCTTAACATTATGCCACACATTCTCCAAGTCTAACCCATTCACACACAACTCATCCAAATAACTTATATTTTCTCTCAGTCTACATTTGTACTTGTCTTTCACATCTTCATCTTGTAACCTCTCAATTCTTACACGCTGTAACGCAGTGGTAGACACAGATGTCCGATGCCGCCAACGTCTGAATAAACCCCTAATTTGGCATAAGACCAGGTAATGATCCGTCCCTACGTTGGACCCCCGGTAAACCCCTGTATCCGCCACTGCGCTCCTCATTCTTTCATCCACAGTTATGAAATCTATCATGCTTCTATCATCACCTCTTTCCCAAGTATATATGTGAATCTTCTTATGACGAAAGAAAGTGTTTGTCACAAAAAGATTCCTTTCCACACATACGGTGAGCAGGCTTTCACCATTTTCATTAATACTTTCATCACCAAACGTTCCCAGTATCCTTTCATAGTCAAGCCTCCTCACCCCAACCCTTCCATTAAAATCTCCTAACATAACAATATTTTCATTTTCCTTACATTTCATTAATACCATCCTTACTATCTCCCAAAACTGCTCTCGGATGTAAGTGGGCTTAGACATGTCTGGGGTGTAGACCCCTGGAACAAACAACTCCTTTGGGCCCACTTTTATTCGTATCCATAGCAGTCTCGGGCTTACACATTCATACTCTTTCACACATTGACCCATTTTTTCTGAAAGGATGATACCGACTCCCTGGCATGTCCGCTCGGTCTCGTCTACACCGGACCAGTACGCGGTATATATGCCACGTGTAGTGACATCCTTTGCCTTTCCTTTCCGCTTCGTCTCATTTACACATAACACATCCATTCCTCTATCATACATCATATCGCATACTTCATCCATCTTATCACTCATTGCTCCAGCGTAGTTAGACGGGCCTCCGCAATCCTCTTTTCGCCCCTCCGGGAGACAGAACGTGACGGGTGGCGAACCTCGTCGCCGGTTTTCCTCCCGGAGATTCTTCGCACCCCTACCCATTAAAGGGCGCCGGGAACTCGGGGCCATTTCTTTTCCTTTTTGCCTCATGGTGCGAAAACTAGGGGGTGGTATTATAATATATCTTGTTTGCTTTCTCTTTCTTTCACACTAGATTTATTATTGGTCAAACAGTTAACGTGTTTTACTGAATACACACAAATAGTAGTTTTTTTTTTTGAAGATTCACATTTTAGTTGGACGATATAATCTGTATTTTTACTATAGATTTAAACTATAATGTAGTTAAATTCCGAATAAATGAATGTAACATTATACCTGAAAGCGTCAGGCGTCATGAGATTCAACTGCGGCGGTATGGGAGGCGGCGACTCGGCACGTTGACTGATCAAACTGCCCGGCTGTGTCTGTAAAGAAACATAGAGATGAAAGCACTTAATAAAATTAATTATTGATGTGGCATACACATAGCATAGCAAAGGTTGTCTAGAAGAGATCACTTTTAGTAGACAGTCACTTTCACATACTAGATTATTTTTCAGAGTATCCAAATTTCATATTTATATATCGACGACTCCGTGGCGCAGTGGCTTAGCAATGAGTAGCTGCGCTGGGGGTCGCGGGTTCGAATCCCGCACGGTACAAGTATTTGTATGGCCTACATATAGTTGTTCCGGGTCTGGATGTTTGTCCTTGTGCAATTTATGTTTGTAAACTACCCCCACGATACAAGAGAAAATCTTAGTGTAGAGGTAACGTTTTAAAAAAAAATATTTAAGTTTAAGTATACAAATAATGATATATCGTTATTGCAATTTTTGAAAATACGAGTAAATAAGACTTCCACTTTTATTTGAAATCGTCCCAAATTGAATGTGATTTGAGGGCAACAACTACGCGAGCAGGCACTTCTCTGTGTGCGATTCAATTCACTACGTTTTAGCCAACCGAGCGACCCTTAAGAATGTGTGCGAACGTAGTAAAATAGTAGGCGTTAGATATTTATGAATGACAATCAGTTACAATAATACATTGCCACGCGTTCTGAATTTAAAAGATAAAATGGACAAAATGTTTTAGGTTTACTTTAATTAATTTTTCTTTACCATTCGCCTATATTACTTATTCCGAACCTTCTCTGCAAAGGGGAATGCCCATTTTCGGCCATGGAACGCCCAACAATATGCATTTGTTAAAAAAAATATATCTTTATTTATGGTTATTAATCGCGGTATTCATTAATCCTAAAATCCTATCCCAAAAAGATGGGAATATTTTTGCACAAAAAAAGTTACTGAAATGATAAAAATAAAATTAGGTAAATGCGTAATTCATTAGTTTGTGGATGAAATAAAAAATGTTGCCAATCACAAATCTCACAAAAAAAATCGTTCCCTTTTTTTTCAATCGATTATTTATGGTGTCATTATTACAATGCTAATATAACTTTTCGATTTCTTATGAATTCGAATTATTATGATATTATGATATAAGTGTAAAGCAACCGTTGACAATGAATATTTATCCAAAGCAGCCGATACGCAACCGTAGTCAACCAGTTGTTTATCCGACTACAGACGAAAAGGATGGTTATGTTTTTACTGTGTGTGCGGGTGGCTAAGCTGAATCGCTTTTTGCAATGGTGCTTAAAAACTACTTGACCGATTTAAAAAATTCTTTCACCATTCGAATTCTATCATGACTGTAAAACGGAGAATGCATTTTATGATAGAGAACGCTACTTTCAACCAATATATTTATTTAGCTAAACTCGTAAAGTACTTTCACCGCTAGAATGTTATGTATAATTATAGATATCTAATGTCGGATGCATTTTATTATAGAGGGCGCTACTTTCTACGAATATGATTTTATTAGCTAATCTCAAAAAATACTTGACCGATTTTGAAAGTTCTTTAACCATTACATTGCTAATGAGGGCGTTAGTTGTGTGATAAAATTATATTATTAAAATAATTATTTGTGATATTAATACTTTCTAAATAAATAAAAGTAAATATTAGCTAAGACGATCAAATCCTATTATTATTTTTACAATTTAACAATGGTATTTACACACTTTACCTACTTAGGTTGATTGTTTTAGATATAGGTAATAAATCTAAAATAAGAGAGCTACACCGAAACGAAAAAATAATTAATAAAATATAACTAAAAGTTAGAAAAAGTGGCCCAATGTGAATCCGACTCGCAAGCCTATGAAGAGTTCCGAAGTAACAAGCATAGATTCTACATCGAGTTAAAATACCACTAACATTATCGCCAGCAAAAAGTTACTTTGTTTTTGCTAGTGTTTGTATAAAGGACAAAATTGTAATCGCGGTTCTTGAAGATAAGCTATCTGAAGTGAGTAATGTATTGCACCCAGAACAACAAAGCTTAGATCATACATCATACAATATACTGCTGCCTAATTATGTAAGAGCACCACTCACACAAAATCAATGTTTTTTCCTGGTTGTAACTATTCCAATCAACTCACTGTTCCATCAGCATTGCGGGTCTGTCTTTTTACAAATACAATTACTATGTACCTCCAGAATGTAGAATCAGTAACTACCATTTAAATAGTAACTCTTGGGATTTACTTTTAGAATCAATATATAACCATATTAAAACATTTAGTGTAGCACAAATTATAGACTTTGCTACATTATTATAAGTTAATATATACCATCATATATACATTATTATCAGGCTTATCAAAGGCACAATACCAACAAATTCTCTCTGAAGTTCCCAGAATGTCATGTAAACATAATGGTTGTTTTGCACTTGCTGTATATTTGATGAAAGTAAGAACAGGAGATAGTGACGAATGCATATAGGCATTATTGTGTGGCCGTGGAAGGAAAAGGGGAGATCTCCCGCCGGGCAAGGTGTTCTGCCCGGGGAGCGGCCAACGCTCCGTGTGATAGTTCGGAGCTGTTCTATATATACTGTTCATGATTCGGAATGTTGATAGTGCGATTTAATCTTCGGTGTGTTTCGCTTGTGGCGCGACGACAGCGCCGCTACAATTGCAAGTGCCAAGAAACAAATTAGAGCGGCTCATGAATATGGCCCGCGAAATATTAAATCGGGATGTTGTTCCTATGAATTTTATCCATCGTTACCACTCTCTGTGCCAAATTCCATTCAGTAATTATGATATTATATTAGAGACAAATAATTCCTTAGCTTTCCTAGATGTTTTCCAAAATCCTAACAACATCATAGGTCACACTGTGTATAGAAAAGAGACCCTTACAAACTTATATTTAAACGGTGAATCTCACCATCATCCTTCACAGTTAGTTACCGTGAGCGAATCTTTGTTACAGAGAGCATGTGCGAGCTGACGTTAAGCATCAAAGTTCCGGGAAATCTGCAGTTTGTGATCATATCCTAGACGGCCCCAACCAGATAGACATACATCAGATTTGATAGACACACAAATCCTCGCGAAAGGACCTTAATTCCTACCAAGGATGATATGTGAGGCTATTGAAATTAAAAAACATCCTAATTTCAATAGCGAAGGCAGCTGGGAACTACCACCTGCTTGGGACACTATAATTAATAAAATTAAAACTAAACCCAAGCATACCACTGCAAGACTTAAAGACAGAGTAAATTCAATCTGCGTATAAAAATAATAATAAAAAGCTGAAGGTACTCCATGTTAATACTGACATTGGGATGGCAGTCACCTCAGCCCCCCGTTACCATGGGTGCTATAAAGCACCTGAAACGTCGGGAATTAAAAGTTAATGAAATTAAAAGCAATAAAATTGGTAAAAGTAGTCGTTAAAAAACTGTATTTGTGAAAATAAAAACTTTTATATCATAAAAATCCCGACTATTTTTAAACCAATTCCTTAACCATTTCATTCTTTTAATTGCATATTATCATTTCCATATGCTTTTATATGTGGGCACCCATGGCCGAAGTGTCTATGAACAGTGGGCATTCCCCTTTGTGTGTATATAGCAAATTAACCCTGTATATAATGATTTCTTATATTTACGCGAGCACTACACATTTAAATAAGAAAAATTAATAATTTTTATCTACAGGTAGCTGTGATTAACTATGACATTGGGACGTCGAACACCTCAGTCCCCTCCGTGATCATGGGTGTTGAAAAGTGCTCGAAACGTCGGGAATATAAAATAAATTAATGTACGCGATAAAATCTGTAAAAACTAGTTTTATTTAACCATGTATACTTTCAATTGTACTCTACTAGTCTTCTGAATTTTGGTGAATATTATAGTATAAATAAAATTGAATGAACAAACCAGCAAACTTTTGTGACTTTTTTAACAGCTATAAAATATGAATCAAGTCACATATCACTACTTTTTTATAGGATAGGGTGATAAACGAGCACACAGTCCACCTGATGGTTGCTGCGGTCCATAGACATCTACATCTATCCTCGATTACAAATCAAAATGCAGATACGTGGTCATCCGTGAGGACTAAGATGGAATGCCTCCTTTCGAGTAAAAAGGGTCTCCGGTTCTCTACACTCACCATACGAAATACAGCAGCATTAAGCTACTATTTCACGCTGGTATTCTGTGAGAGCGTAGTCCTTTCGGTCGAGCCGACTCATTCGTGCTACAACTATACTACTAACATAACTGCAGCATGGCTCTACCACGTATATTTTCAATCTGTTATAGCAACTATGGTAATTAAACATAAATAATATGTTTCAAAACATTTTAGTGTAATTAAAAAATATAAACACCCAAGCACACACATAATGTACAGTACAGCAAATTATTTAAGCAACTGACCTGACTCCTCATGAGCAGGTTTTTCAGCTGTTGGCTTTGTTGTTGTAGAATGCTGGAGGGTATTGCTGCAGTTGAAACCTCTTCTTCAGTATCCTCAAGGGTCAATTCTTCCAAACCTGCGAAATATTTTAAATTTCTTAAAACTATATCGGATAGCAGAACAACATCATTTACGTCGTCATAGTCATCTTTACAGCTTATCAAAAGTCAACTTCTGAACATAGGTTTCTCGCCTTTATGCTTCATACATTACATTTGCCTGAATCGTTGCTCTAGTGGTGTTAAGTGGAACTGCTGACAACGTGGCCCCAGGTATGAATCTTGGGCTAAACCAAAATCAGTTATCGGGTTTTTCTATCAATAAATTCTCAGTAGAAGACTGGAGTCGGGAATTTGGCGGTGTTTCACCCCCGTGCCTCGGAAAGCACGTAAAGGCATTGGTCTTGCGCCTGATCTCTCTCTGCTCATGGCGTGTTTTCGTCTCATCCGACTATGAGAATGAGGGAATAGATAGTGCACCTATTTGCGCACACACCCATGCAATATAAACGTGTTTTTTTATATGTGCAAGCATATATGCAGGTGTAGAAATACCAGTATCAAAAATAGGGAATGCAATCTCGTTCTCGCGAGATCTCGGCATTTTTTTAGCGAGATTGATCTCGGACGAAAAATGGGGCGAGATCTCGCGAGTTTAACGAGATTGCATTTGGGCATAAAAACGCGGAATGACACGGACGGAGTTGCGATCTGTCGGTTATCTGGCCAGCAAAATAAGAAGCCGTTTAGCAGACGATTCTTTGGACATATTGTGCTTCTTAAAGAGCTACTTTCAAAATAATTCGTAATAATGGCTTGTGATTTGAACTGAATAAATCTTTCATTTGATTGGTATATTTTGTTAATTAATCTGTCATTTCTAATAGTCTGACTAATTGGTATACTTTGTTACTTAATCTGTAATATCTAATGGATCTACTGAGTAGATATAGTTTTATTTAATTGATAATAATATCTCAGTTTAATAGTAAACTCAACTTAGATAATAAGTTTCATTTTTTTTTTACTTCTCATTGTTTTGTTTGTTATAAAAGAACTGTTTTATTACATCATATCATGTTTTATCACATTAGTTTATTTTTGTTTGATATTAGAAGGGAAGTCTGGTTATTTCTTACATATGTTATTTGATTGGTACGTACGTCAAAGTTTACTACTTAGAAGTTTATTAAAAAATTATAGACCGATACGTCAAACAATGTTTGATGCATAAAAAAAGTGTATTGAAAAAATTCGTGAAAAAAATGTTTATCTTATAATACTTATAATTCTTATTATTTTTTTCATAATTTATTCAAATATTTTGATTATTTGCAAAGAAAACACACAAATCTGCCAATCTCGCGAGAACTCGAAATTGGCGAGATCTTGCAGTATTGTTAATCATAAACTCGCGGGATCTCGCTTGAGCCTCAATCTCGCGAGATTTGCATTCAATAATCAAAACCAGTATTAAACCTGCATTGTGCAGATCGCTAGTCTTCTTTGAAAATGGCCGCCGTGACCGAAATTCGATCTGGAGGACATCATTATTACTTGCCATAGTTTATACTCTTGGCGGGCGGGTTGGCAACCGCTTTTTTTATTTTTTATTTGGAGATTTCATAAGAAAGATTCTGCTAGCCATCTTACGTTTCATTTTCCCTTATCAACTTCTACACATCTATGGGTTAACATGTGATAGTAGATTCTCTTCTACCACTATTACATGGCAACAACATTTAATGAAAGTGTTATAAGACTGAGGATGAAACAGAATAACAGAGGTAGACTAGGAAGTAAACTTTGATAGATTGTAGAATTAATAATAATAAACAAATAACGTTTATTTCTCACCACAAACAAAGTTACATTTAGAGTTATAAGTAGTACAAAACAACTTTTCCTGTGGATCGCTAGTGCCTATGGTGGGTAAGATACCCGTATTACAGGTCACTTACGAGGAATGCTATTATCTAAAACATTAACACATAAAATTAACTCTATTTCCTTATTTATCATGCCTAATTGAAATACTTGGTTATAGTTAAGAAAACTTAGAAAATGTGTGTGTGTGTGTGTGTGTGTGTGTGTGTGTGTGTGTGTGTGTGTGTGTGTGCGCGTGCGTGAGTATGCGTGTGTGTGCGTGTGAGTGAGTGCGTGCGTGTGTGCGTGTGTGTGCGTGTGCGTGCGCTGCGCGCGCGTGTGTGTGTGTGTGTGTGCGCGCGTGCGCGTGTGTGCGTGTGTGCGTGCGTGTGCGTGTGTGCGTGTGTGCGTGTGTGCGTTTGTGCGTGTGTGCGTGTGTGCGTGTGTGCGTGTGTGCGTGTGTGCGTATGTGCGTGTGTGCGTGTGTGTATTTTACACGACAACCTCCAAAAGACTTTCTGTTTTTGCATAGGTTTGCTTAAGAAGCCAGTTGAGAATAATGTTTTTGCACTCATATTGATTTCCAGAAAAGAGGAATAAGGTTTTACGCAATTTATTATATAAATAGGAGCCAAGGAATATGCAGAATCTGTGACTAAATGCAGTTTTAACTTGAGTAGACTTTGCAACTAGTTGGTTACGTCGTGTTCATTCAGGGATATATTTGGTTGAGGCATGTTGTTTGAGAGCGGTGGTTAAAATGAATAATTGTCTGACTGTTAGTACTTGACAATAGTCTTATGACTAGTTGGTCTGTAGGAAACATACGCGGTTTAAAACGACATACTTTTAAAACAGCTCTCTGTGCCCATTCAAGTTGTATAAAATTACTTTTAGCCGCACCACCACACGTGGATATGCAATAAGATAAAATTGATTGACACAATTAATATTAATATAAAACTGAATGAAAAAATGATGCCATATGAACTAACCATCTTGTTCATTGTTTAAAAATGTAGATAAGTTTACGGACTCTGACAGGTGCTCAATGTAAGCTTTAAATGTGAGTTTATTATCAATTATTATTCCATATCCAATTAATTTTAATTCAACTTTCCGATGAACTAGAGATTGGGAACTTCTAAATATAACTCAGAACTGGCAACGCAGTAAAAAAAATTGAATTATGTTTTGCAAATAGTACGCGTGTTTGGACATTTGTACATAGGAGAGTCACATTGCAGCTATATTATGGTTGTAGCACGAATGGGTCGGCTTGACCAGGGTAGCACCTTGCTCTTACAGAATACCAGTGTAAAATAGTAGTTTACAACATTAAACAGTGTGTTTCGTAAGGGGAGTGTAGAGAACCGGAGACCCTTTTTACTGGAAATGAAGCATTTGATTGTAGTCTAATGGGTGACAGCGCATCTGCATTTTGATCTTAATTGAGGATAGATGAGGATGTGTAAGGGTCATTTGTCAATGTTATTGTATAAAAAGAAATGTAAGCAGTAAGTACCTCGCATGGGATCGGGGTCAGGGCGGGACTGCGGCGCGGGCGGCGCGTACGCCAGCTCTCCCTCCTGCAGGCCGCGCGGCTGCACGATGTACAGCCGCACGCACACGCGCCGCCCGCCACCCGCACACTCGCCCGTGTCCTCCTTTCAGAAACAATACTATACTATACAATACAATACCATACAATATAATACCATACAAAACAATACTATACAATACTATACTACACAATATGATACAATACAACTCAATAGAAAAAATACAACCGAGTGACAACTGCCGAGGACAGAGGTTTTATTCCGAACCAGTAGTAAAAGTTACAAATTACTTGCAATAAGAATAACCTATAATCAATATTAAATGAAAAAAGAAATCTAATAATACTCTGTTACATATCGACAAATATGTCGGTATATCGAAGTGCTGAAGTGTTTGTACAGTAGGGCTACGATGGATATCCGAGTACAAAACCAGAGTTCGAAACCTATCCAACTACAGAGAGGTGTAAGACAGGGTGACGTTATATCTCCGAAACTCTTCACCGATGCATTGGAAGACGTTTTCAAGCTACTGAACCGGAAAAGATACGGTAATAACATCAATGGCGAGTACATCACTCACCTTCGATTTGCAGACAACATAGTCCTTATGGCAGAATCGCTGGAGGACCTAAGCACTATGCTCAATGACCTCAATGGTGTCTCCCAATGGATAGGTTTTAAGATGATCATTGACAACAAGATGAACAAAACAAAGACCATGTTTAATGTCCATGTCACACCTATGCCGGTAGTTGTTGGCAGCACTATGCTCGAAGTTGTTGACGAGTATGTTTACCTGGGGTAAATAGTCCGACTAGGTAAGTCGAACTTCGACCGAGAGGTCAATCGCCAGATTCAACTCGGCAGGGCAGCGTTCGGGAAATTACGACACATCTTCTAGTCAGGTGTACCTTAAACTCTGAAAACGAGACTGTACAACCAGTTCGTGTTGCCAGTGATGACTTACGGATCTGAGACGTGGTCCTCAAGGTCGCTCAGCGAGCTATGGAGAGGGCTATGCTCGGAGTTTCTCTGCGTGATAGACTCAGAAATGAGGATATCCGCAGTAAAACCAGAGTGACCGACATAGCCCAACGGATTAGTAAGCTGAAGTGACAATGGTCCAGCCATATAGCTCGAAGAACCGATAACCGATGGGGAAGAAAGGTTCTCGAGTGGCAGCCTCGTACTGGTAGGCGTAGTGTAGGGCGATAGATGGAGTGACGACCTGTTAAGACATGCAGGAAGTCGATTGATGCAGGTGGCTCAGGACCGCTGCCTTGTGGCATTCCTTGGGGAGGCCTATGTTCAGCAGTGGACTTGTTAAGGGCTGTAATGATGATGATGATGATATCCAACAGAAAATTACTAAGGCAATGAGCAAAAAAGAGGCGAATTTTTAAAAGTAAAAAATAAACAATAATAAATCGTGACATAAGACAATTTTCAAAAAAATTATACCAATAAAACATAACCTTTTTCAGTTCAATTACGTTTCATAGGAACATAGTCTAAAAAATTTTCATTGTTTCATTTCATTGTAGTACTCAGGAATAATAACGCATCTGCATTTTGATTTCTTAAGCAAGGATAAATGTAAATATCTACGTGCCACAGCATCCACTTATCACCAGGTGGACTGTGTGCTCATCTGTCACTCATATTCTATAAAAAAAAACAATTAAACAAAACATAGTTAGTGTTTTCAAAAAAAGATGACCTTATCACAAAAATTGATAGGGGCGTACTCCAATGGTTTGGGTACGTTGAACGAATGAGTGAAGACCGAATGGTGAAGAAAATATATAGAGCGAAAGTAAATATTAAAAGGTGTCGAGGTAGACCGAGACTAACTTTCGAAGACCATGTGAGCAAATTGCTCGAAGAGGGGAAGGTCAAGAGTACTCGGATACCTAGACACGCATGTATGAAGAAGGTAATAAACCTGAAAGAAGCGAAAGAGGTATGTAAGGATCGTGACACTTGGCGATCTGTTCTCTCTGGCTACCCCGTTAGGGATTGTGCGTGAAGATAAGTAAGTAGGTGTTTTCAAAAAATTTCTATAGAATGTTTAATTTTGACATCTCGTAATATGTATATCAATTGTCATGAGTCAAATACCCTTATTATAAATACATGTGATATAGGTAAATAATGCAATTACATCTTGATTCAACTCAAAGGCGTCAGGTGAGTCCCGAACATCACCACTGGAACCGTTGCGTTGGTGGAAGGGATCATCACAGCTGGACTCGCATTTCACTTCCTCCTCCTCTGTAACAAATTAAATTGAATTTTTAGCCTACGTACATATGACAAGACCCTCAGTTCAGTTTTGTGAGGGTTGACCTGGGCAGACCCGGGCAGACCTGGGCATCCGTCATCCAGAGGAACTGAGCTAGCTAGCTATGCAGATGCATAGGACAGGATTATAATGGCCCAATATAGGCGCAAGTACAAGTGCATTCTCTATTCCCTCAATCCTATAGTCCCATGAGACGGCAATCCGACGGCCAGAGATAAGTGGCAGCATCAACGGCTTTATATGCTTTCTGAGCCACGGCAGTGAAATTCCAGAAGCTAAATTGAAAATAAAGCTAAATTCCAGAGTTGACACTGAAAATTTCTTAACAGAAAAACCCAATAAGTGATATAACATACTAGAGCATGGAGGACTAACCGCTCAGTTAGTATTTCCTGCTTCAGTATGTGTAGGCAGATTACACATAACCCAGAAAATATAGTATTTTGCAGACATGTTAGTTTCATTGCGATGTTTTCTTTCACTGCTGAGCATGTAGTAAATTAGCACTTAAAATTTCGATTCACAATTTCACTAATGCCATTAACAGAGTGACAACCTGGAAATAGATGCAGTAAGTTGATGGATGCGAATGGCTCAGGATTGTATTTGTGACATTCCTTAGGGAGGACTTCGTTATGCAGTGGACTTGTGATGCACGGTAATGAATTAAAAGATAAATATGGATGGATTTTTAGCCCCGAATACCGATAACTTTAAATACAATGTAGTTCAATAAACATGTTGGTAATTAGTCATACAGGTCTTTCCTAAAACTAACACCAAGTAAAATTTATTTTAAAGTAAATCTGCTCTCTACCACGTAGAATAGTAATTTGCCAGTTACACTTACCAGCATCTACAATACAAAAACTGAGCACTGGATATGGCAGCAAAAATTCTGATATACTTTTGCAGTAAGCCATTGAGTCATCGGCATCTCTCGCCATATTCAGCACATATAGACTCCGAGACTTAAAGTCAGACAGCAGCAGATAATTAGCGCTGGTGTCCAACATGGCCTTGAGACCAAGCCCTGCAGGTTCAGCGCCTGGGGCTGGGGAAAAGGTGATGCTTTGCAAACAATTCCAGGATTTGCAGGACCAGATCTTGATTAAGGCGTTGTTTTCGGCGCCTGTTACTGCGAACTTCCAGAATTGTACACTGTAACAGAATACGGATGTTAATAAATTCTCGATAATCTAGTCACTTTAAAATTTCTATTGAGTATAAGAGATTTGCCGTGTTGTGATTTCCCGTTTGAGAGCCGTGGTAGCTCAGATGGTTAGCGCTCGCTGTAAATTTCACAATACACGAGCAAACCGGGTTCGATCCCCGCCGGCACCAATGAAATTGTTAATTGCAATTTTAAGTGCTGATTTACCACGTGCTCGGCGGTGAAGGAAAACATCGTGAGGAAACCTGCATGTCTGAGAAGATCGAAAACATGCTAAGTTGCAACACGAGGATAATTCTATTTAAAAAAGAGAAATAAGAAAAAATTATTTCGAAGACATGTGAAGTTCGCCAACACGCACTGGGGCAGCGCGGCGGACTATTCCTTGCCTTAAAACCCTCTCAGAAATGAAAGGAGGCCTGTGCCCAGCAGTGGGATGTATATAGGCTGTAACTTTACCTTTACTTTTATAATGAAAGTATAGTTTACCATACATGTTGAAATAAGAATACAAAACTTTGAAAATTACAGCCAGCTAAATACAAATAGAACTAAAAAAATCAATTTAGTAAATAATTTTAGCACTTCTAGCTCTTTAATTTACTACTTTTCACATTATTATTAAATAAGTATAACAAGTTTTGGTATAAAAATTATTTTTTTAACCTAATGAAACAATTATATGCCATCAAAAACATAACTTGTAAAAAATACCAAGTCTCGCAACTCACTTCTTCTACCGTAAAAGGTAGTGAGATTCAGTAATACCTAGTCGGTTAATTTATTCAGTCCCTACTTAAGGGTCTTTCTGTTTTAATTTATTACGTAATTAGCTAACCTAACAACATCTTATAGTGACCATATCAATGTTGTCTTTTATGTTTTAAATATATAGATTGACTTGGCCATTGCATGAAAACATAATGAAACTCACAAGTAATACATATATACAGATTGCTTAGTTCGATGGCCAAGTCAATTTATTTATTTAAAACCTAAAAGATTTTTAACACTGATATTGAACGAAATTTGAAATATTATTCTATTTTTATACAATGCCTTCTTGGTTATTGAAAATTCAGGCTTCTATTTATATCCATAACGAAGTTATAGAGGGTCGAAAATGGCCTGAACTGCTTCGAGAAAAGTATGGTACGGCCGTGCCGCTTTTATGTTCGACTTGGCGGAGGCACTGCCGTGCCCCCAGATTAATACCATCTTGGAATAGAAGTTATAATTATGACATTATTTTATTATATACTTACTCTGTATTGTAATTCTTGTGGTTATCAAGGAAGAACAGACAACTGAGCGGTTTGCCACCATGAGGCTGCCATTTGTGAAGGCATCTGGGGTTGCTGTCATTGTCCATGTACACCTGAAATTTTAAATCTCGTTTCATTTATCTGAAATATACGTCAAATTACATTGACAAAGTGCGGACATAAACAATAATAGCGTTTTCTTAGTCACGTTAAACAAAATCAGTGTTAGATAATCATAGCATGTGTAACAACGTTCGCGGTTTACAAAACAAAGTACCAGTTTCTGCACCCGCTCGCAGTCGACTGAGTTACGGGGAATTGAGCGTAGTTTACTGTGTAGTGGCAGTGTAACAAGACGTATCCGTCCGCGGCGGCGGTGGCGAGCGCGGTGCCGTCGGGCGAGAAGGTGGCCGCCACCACCGGCACCGCGTGCTCGCACCCGCGCTTTAGTGTACGTACCTGGAAGAACATGACGTATCCGTCCGCGGCGGCGGTGGCGAGCGCGGTGCCGTCTGGAGAGAAGGCGGCCGCCTGCACCGGCGCCGCGTGCTCGCATCCGCGCTTTAGTGTACGTACCTGGAAGAACATGACGTATCCATACGCGGCGGCGGTGGCGAGCGCGGTGCCGTCGGGCGAGAAGATGGCCGCCTGCACCGGCGCCGCGTGCTCGCACCCGCGCTTAAGTGTACGTACCTGGAAGAACATGACGTATCCGTACGCGGCGGCGGCGGCGAGCGCGGTGCCGTCGGGCGAGAAGGTGGCCGCCACCACCGGCGCCGCGTGCTCGCACCCGCGCTTTAGTGTACGTACCTGGAAGAACATGACGTATCCGTCCGCGGCGGCGGTGGCGAGCGCGGTGCCGTCGGGCGAGAAGGCGCTCGCCAGCACCGGTGCCGCGTGCTCGCACCCGCGCTTAAATGTACGTACCTGGATGAACATGACGTATCCGTCCGCGGCGACGGTAGCGAGCGCGGTGCCGTCGGGCGAGAAGGTGGCCGCCACCACCGGCGCCGCGTGCTCGCACCCGCGCTTTAGTGTACGTACCTGGAAGAACATGACGTATCCGTCCGCGGCGGCGGTGGCGAGCGCGGTGCCGTCTGGCGAGAAGGTGGCCGCCTGCACCGGCGCCGCGTGCTCGCACCCGCGCTTAAGTGTACGTACCTGGAAGAACATGACGTATCCGTTCGCGGCGGCGGTGGCGAGCGCGGTGCCGTCGGGCGAGAAGGCGGCCGCCAGCACCGGCGCCGCGTGCTCGCACCCGCGCTTAAGTGTACGTACCTGGAAGAACATGACGTACCCGTCCGCGGCGGCGGTGGCGAGCGCGGTGCCGTCTGGCGAGAAGGTGGCCGCCTGCACCGGCGCCGCGTGCTCGCACCCGCGCTTAAGTGTACGTACCTGGAAGAACATGACGTATCCGTTCGCGGCGGCGGTGGCGAGCGCGGTGCCGTCGGGCGAGAAGGCGGCCGCCAGCCCCGGCGCCGCATGTTCGCCGGCCGTGCGCGCGCCGCGCCCCGCCAGCGCGCTCACCGCGCCCACCGCGCAACCCCCCAGCACCCTCGCCCGCACCCGAGCACACCGCGCGCACGTTCCACATGCGCGCTGTACGCAACATTCGATTCAACAATAAAGACACCACTAATAGCAAGTTTACACATACCCCAGTAGCTAAACACACTACAGGTTTAATTATCACAAAATGACGGCAAGCAACAAACAAGACTAATAGGACAAGATGAGTTTTTTTATTCTTTCAATGACCTCCCCCCCCCTCTATTATGAGCTGACGTAAGTAATAGATTCCCCCTAATAACAACCAAAAATATTACAAAAACAGCTGTACGAAGATTGCAACACACAAGGTTAAATACCTCGGTGCGACCATAATCATCATTTCATCACTTTGGAATTTTAAATCAACTTTAAACAGTAGACCGACTTAAAATCACCAAAATTTTTGACACACGTAAGTTTTGAAAATAATCTTAAAAAACACTAAACCTACAATATTATATTTATTTTGTTAAACCCCAACCTTCAACTATATACCTATGCCTAATTAAACAAACCAAAAAAAATTATTTCTTATATTTACACAAACACTACACATTGAATAAAACTATTTTTACTGGTTTAATCGCGTTTAATTTAGTTAATTTTAATTTCCACATTAAAATTAACTAAATTAAACAATAAAATCTGTAAAAGTATTTTTATCCAAACCATAAAGAGGACTGGAATTTACAGTCAGTTTACCAGCTTAATCTTATAGCATGTATCAATATAAAATCCATACATTTAAAGAATGGGATTAGAAATAGTGACTCATCAAGCCCATACTGCCAATATGCACAGTAACATCTACGTGGTAGAGCCATGCTGCAGTTATATTAGTAGTATAGTTGTAGCATGAATGGGTCGGCTCGACCGGGGAAGGACCACGCTCTCACAGAATACCAGCGTGAAATAGTAGCTTAATGCTGCTGTATTTCGTATGGTGAGTGTAGAGAACCGGAGACCCTTTTTACTGAAAATGAGGCATTCCATCTCAGTCCTCACGGGTGACAACGCATCTGCATTTTGATTTGTAATGGAAGATAGATGTAGATGTCTATGGGCCGCAGCAACCACTTACCATCAGGTGGACTGTGTGCTCGTTTGTCAGCCTATTCTATAAAAAAAAAAAAAACAATACTGAAAACCCGATAATAATGGTATATCATTATAACGTTATATTATTTTGTTAATTGAAAATTTGCTATTAATGACAAAATAGTTGAAAAAATTGTAATTACAAGACTACATTAATGTTAAAATAGCTTGTATAACTATAGTCAACCAAATCTAAGAAATACATTTTGACAGCTATCAGACTTATTGCACCAAGCATGACAACCAAAAAATGGGAGCGTACAATATTTGATTCTTAAAAAAATCGATATTCATTATTTAGAGTTGGTAATCATTTACAGTTTGGTTTAAAAAAAATATCAGAATAAATTAGAAACGGATAATTTAAAACACAAGATTTATCAGTTTCTTTATATTTTTTTTATTTCTAGAGGCAAAGTTATAAAAATTTAAGATTGAAACTAGATTAAACACAAATTTATTCAATCATTTTCAGTTCAACTAGTTGAACTGTCGTTGTTTAGATTAATTCTTATTTGATTTTAAATAATGCAGCCAAAATTAATGTCTCTTTCAAAGTCATCCATTATACATTTTTTTGTTTTTTTTTTTACCGCTTTTGCCCAATCATCCCTTGTGACATAGGCATATACTTCAACGAATATAGATGAAACAGTCCTAAAAAGTTAAAGCCGAGCCACAAAATAAGAAGACAAACACAAAATCACAAAATTACGCACAGCATGCTCCCAAAATGGCAGGTGATTGAATTTACGTATTGGTATTTTTAACGCGGCATTGTACATGAGTTATTTTGCCTACACAAATTTACGTTGACAAAGTAATAAAAATGAACTTGAATAAAACTAAATTTACGGATATTATCGCGTTTACTTCACTACTTTTACTTATTTCACCCATGGTCAGTCACGGGAGGGACTGAGATGTTTGACGTCCCAATGTCATAGTTAGTCTGGCTACCTTCAGTTTTTGAATATTAATTTTTGGTCCGATTTACGCAAAACGAGCTTATGGTATCATGAAGTCTTGCAGTGGTATGCTTAGATTTGGGTTTAATTTTGTTAATTATAGGATCCCAAGCAGGTGGCAGCACCCATCCATCTTCTCTATTGAAATTTGGATGTTTTTTAATTTAAATAGTCTCGCGTATCATTCTTGGTAGGAATCGGTGTTCTTTTGGGGTGCTGTAAAGCACCCGAAACGTCGGGAATTAAAAATAAGTAAAAGTAGTGAAATAAACGCGATAAAATCCGTAAATTTAGTTTTATTCAATGTGTAGTGTTCGCGTAAATTGAAGAAATCAAAAATGAACTTGTTTTATTCACGACTCACATAATTTAAAGAATTTTAAAAATAAAAATTAAATTAAACAAATAATACATTAAAAAATTTGTGTCTCAATTATTTGAATATTTTTACCGATTATTTGAATATATTTGCCGATTATTCGCATAACAATAAATTTTAATCAACCAAACACTACGGTAAAATACATAGCAACATATCATTGAAACGAAGTCAAGTAAAAAAGTTGATACTGGTTATTTTTTTAATATTTTGCTTTGTTTGAAAAATTCAAGTTTAAATTAGTGATAAAAAACTATACACTTTGTAATGAAATATAGATAAATTCATAATTCTTCGGATTTACGTAAAAGGTTATTTTAAATAGTGTGAGTACGCTTGTGCAAAGTTATTGCGGAATGATTAATGTGAAACGTCAAAAGGTATTTCTTAGATTTGGTTGACTATAGCGACCCACTCCAGCTTCTCCCAGGTGGGATCTATTATGTGGCGTTATTTACACTTAAAGATAATCATCTAAGACTAGTGATGCAACGAATATGAATATTCGTATTCGCCGAATAGTAGACATTTGGTCTGATATTCATATTCGTATTCATAAAAGGAGCATTTGTTGCATCACTATCTAAGATCATTTATTTTATCTTATCAACATTTCTACCTTAATAAAATCTCTAAATTTTTCGGACAAAATTGAGACTAGATTACTTCTGATATAACTCTATTTGTTAATGAAGTTTTATTACAATCGGTTCAGCCATTGCGAAGAAACGAAAATTTAAAAAATGGTTAGTCTTGTCTTTAAAAAATGTAAATATTTAATACAAAAATATTAACAATATTAACAATATCAAAAATTATTATGAAGAAAACTCTCTATACATGACATAACTCTCAAATAAGCGAAACCAGAGTGAATTTTTTTTTTTTGTAGTTTCTGGAATTTCATTATCATTGATTCTAATAACAAGTGTCAATTCAAAGGACAGAAGCTATAGAACAAACGAAAAACGCATATCGCAACGTATTTTATTTTGCAGTCTTTACCGGCGGGTGTGAGCAGATAGCGTCTGCGTGCGAACGAAAGGTGAATATAGGCGACGCCATTTTAATTCCATTCTTTAACCGCACGGGTAGAAAAAACATTAGCTTTAACTTACCAACATTGCCATGGGTGGTGAGCAACAGTCTAGCCACATCATCATCAGGAGTGTCATCCTCTTCATCAGGAATGTATGGGCACCACACAACACGATGTGTAGTCCCTTCTACGCCAGTGTCCTCCCATACTTCTAGCACCAAGTTGACACTGTAATACGGAAGTGACAGGTTTAATGATGCCACACAATAAACCAAAGATCATGCGGAATTTAAAACATATTTTTAACTTAAACTGTGTATGTTTCATGTGTATAATATGTTAAAAGAAAGATCAAATATTTAATTGATTGGTGTTGTTGAAACAAAAAAAAACAATTTCTTTTCATACTAATAATGAGATGCAGTAACAGAAAATGACGACTCGTTTATGTGCCTTGTATCAGCCAATATATACTTTGCGGCAATTTATTTTGGCCAAAAGATTTTATTCATTAACATTTATTATTTAAATAAAGATGACTTAATTATATAACAAAAGATGAAGCTTGTCTTGTTGTCTGGTTGGGTGTTCAATTTATATATCTAATGCAAATTAATTTATTCAACTCTTTTGATACAAATTGGACTTGTGTTTTTGCATTTACAATTTCATTACATACTAAAAATAACAATTTTTTTAAATACTTTTTGAAACAATTATAGCCCCATGCTGGACCAAGATCCTATCTGAAGTTGTAGTGATTTATAGGTAGTCTAGATTTTAAACATGTTGGCCTGAAAAGTTAACTGTTTGTCTTTAAATGTTACAATAACATACTTGAGACCGCTTTCAGTGGGCTCTATTTCATGAACATAGAAATTTCCCAGTTCATCAATACACGCCAGTACCACTTGATTTTGAATGTGGGCGAAAGCTAGGTCTTGAACCTGCAAAGTAATTTATGATAAGGATTACCAGTCCAATGACAACAAATCAAAATACTATATCAAATAAACATGTAAAATGATTTAGTACCATGGACTCACAGAGATAGCTGACCATACTTTTGTCTTAGCTTTTAATACAGGTAAGGTTGACAATTAAGTATGACACTGCAGCTAAAACAGATGCCATCATCTGTGGCCCTTAAACATCTGCATCTTTCCTTAATTAAAAAATTGAAATACATATACGCTGACACCCCTGAACACTAAAACGGAATGTCGAGCATAGTAATTTCTTAGTAGAACCAGCGCATTCATACTGCAGCTTGTATTTACAAAAGTTTTCTTTTTTTATATAGGAAAAGTGTGAAAAGCGGGCACACAGTCCACCTGATGGTAAGTGGTTGCTATGGCCCATAGACATCTATCTACATCTATCCTTGTTTGTGAATCAAAATGCAGATGCGTTGTCAGCCTTGAGGACTAAGATGAAATGCCTCTTTTCCAGTAAAATGGGTCTCCAGTTCTCTACACTCACCATACGAAACACAGGAGCATTAAGCTGCTATTTGATGCTGGTATTTTGTGAAAGTGTGGTCCTTCCCCGGTCGAGCCGACCCATTCGTGACACAATTATACAATTAATATAGCTGCAGCATGGCTCTACCATGTAAGATAAGAGATAAGAAGAGAGAAAAGTATGTAAAACCATATGCATTAAATTATAATTTATAATAAATTAAAAAAGAAACAGAACATAATCTTAGGTATAGGATTCAAGATTTATAGTATTATTATCATCAGTCTTCACAGTTGGCAACACATCTATAGAACATTATATGTTTAAATTTCATGACGTAACATCTGTACTAACCTAAACTTTAATCTACTAACAAGTTAACTTTAATATACTAACCTCTCCCTTCATTCCTTTTATAAGAGTCCGCCTGTCTGTACCAGGTTCAGGACTATAAACCACACGCACCATACCATTCCAAGTGCCAGGATTAGCTGGGTTGGGTGCTGAAATAAGTTTTTTTTTTATTTCAGTATTTTTAGCATTATTACATGGTAATACATCATAAATAGGGCCGTGGTAGCTCAGATGGTTAATGCTTGTTGTAAACATAACAGAATGTGAGTAACCCGGGTTCGATCCCTGCCGGCACCAATAAAATTGTTAATTGCAATTTTAAGTGCTTACCTTTATTTACCACGTGCTCGGCGGTGAAGGAAAACATCGTGAGGAAACCTGCATGTCTAAGGAATAAGGAAAGAAATATTTTCGAAGACATGCGAAGTTCGCCAACACGCATTGGGGCAGCGCGGCTGACACTTCCTTGCTCTTAAACCCTCTCAGAAATGAGGGGAGGCCTGTGCCCAGCAGTGGAATGTATAGAGGCTGTAACTTTACTTTTACTTTTACATCATAAATCACTTTCATTTGCATTTGTATAATATAGAAAGTGTGGCAGTGGAAGGAAAAGGGGAGATCTCCCGCCGGGCAAGGTGTTATGCCCGGGGAACGGCCGTCACTTCGTGTGATAGTTCGGAGATGTTCCATATATACTGTTTATGATTCGGGATTTTGATAGCGTGATTTAGGCTTTGGTGTGTTTCACTTGCGGCGCGACGACAGCGCCGCCACATCACCCCCCTGCTCAGACCGGAGGTCGAAAGTGCAGACTCGTTGTGGACGAATGTGCAAGAGCCAGGAGATTGCCTTGTAGTCTGCGGTGAGTCGAGAAGAAGGCAAGTAATCTGCAAGAGTGCCGTGAAGCAGAGGCGAGCAGTAAGGCTCATAGCCGTGCCGAACACTGTGGCGCAGAGAGTAGCTTGAAGGAACAGGAAGCATTATTATTCCAGTGCTGCGATGAACCTTGTGAAGCTAGCTGACTTGCAGGATATGAAGACTGCAGACGATATCTGCTCGGGAGCGAATGGGTGGGGTATTCTATGACGATGATGAAGCTTGAAGTTTCCGAAGGTTGTTGTTTGCGTGTTCAGATCACGTCGGGGTCACCACTGTGGCCGTAGAAGGAAAAGGGGAGATCTACCCGCCAGGCAAGGTGTTCTGCCCGGGGAGCAGCCAACGCTACGCATGATAGTTGGAGACGTTCTATATGCTCTACAAATGTTTGTTAAAAGAGCCATGTCCTGTGATAGCACTAGTTACTATCCTGATATGTGGCTTGTTCAGTCTCATTAGAACCTTGGTTAGACGACTGTTTATTTCAGGTAGGGCCCCCATAGCTTGTCTACAGTCTACTAAATTTTTCCAAAGCTGAGCGTGTAAATTATTGAAGTATCTATGTACCAGTGAACTTTCACCTTCCTAGCATCTATTGCTATGGCCGCTTGGATGATACCCTTGCATTCAGCCTGGAAGACTGTGTTTTGGGTACCCAGTGATGTGCATATGTGGATATTCACACACCTTCATTTGTCTTAGAGCCATCCGTGAAAACTTTGAGCTCTCTTGGACCCAATCCTTCCAGATGGTCAGTTTCCTTCAACTGTATCCTGTACTTTGTATCGAATACAAATTGTTTTGGGATCCTTGAGTAAATTCTATCGATTATATCTGTATGGGGGACTCTACTCTTACTTAAAAGATTTAGTGTCTTGAGTCTAATTTCAGCTAAAGTTGCTTCTTGTTGTATATGTATATGAAGCGGTGTTAGCTCCAGCATAGCCTCCAAAGCTGCTGTTGGTGTAGTCCTTATGCAGCCCGTGGCAGCCATATAAGCTAATCTCTGGTAATGCTGAAGCTATTGTATGATGGTGGCTTCATTGGTTTTGGTCCACCATACCAGAGAGCCATATGTGATCATGGGCCGAATTACAGTTTTGTACAGCCACAGTATAATTTTTGGCGTTAAACCCCATCGTTTGCCAATCATGTTTCTGCATTGTCAGAAAGTTAAACTAGCTTTGCTGATTTTGTTTTCTATGTGTTTGTTCCAGTTAAGTTTACTGTCCAAGGTAAGATCTAGGTATTTTACCTCGGAAGAAAGTTGGAGTTTTGTGCTGAAAAGACTTGGAAGATGATAGTTATTCAGCATTCGTTTTTGTGTGAACATTACTATAACCATTTTATTTGGATTAACGGTTAGGTCATATTCCCTGCACCATCTCTCCACAATACGGATAGCCGCTTGGGTCAGGTCGCACACAATGCTTGCTGTCTTACCAGAGACCAGTATTGTCAGATCATCTGCATAACCGACTGTGTAGAAATGGTTAGCATTTAATTTGCTGATGAGTTCATTAATGACCATATGTGGGGCATTCTATGACAATGATGAAGCTTGAAGTTTCCGAAGGTTGTTGGTTGCATGTTGAGATCATGTTGGGTGGTCACCACTGTGGCCGTGGAAGAAAAAGGGGCGATATTTTTGATAGCGTGATTTAGGCTTCGGTGTTTTTCACTTGCGGCACGACGACAGCGCAGCCACAAAAGCATATAAATTGTTTTTGCTTTTGTTCCTTAAGCTTAATTTTTGTTTATGTAATGTCTTATTGTATACTTTTATTAGCCAAAATTTTTAGTGTCACAGTAGATAAATTTTAATAAATAAACATAATAGCCTATATATGTTCCACTGATGAGCACAGGCCTCCTCCCATTTCTCAGAGGGTTTTAGAGCATGGAAATGTCTGCCTCGCTGCCCCAATGTTTGTTGGCAAACTTCACATATGGTCATTTTTTTGGCATACTGTGAAATTTACACCAAGCACATAGCCCCTGAGCTACAGCGGCTTGTATAATTGATAATTAACACACAAATTATTGAATTTTTTCTACTGACATGAAAATGTTTAAACTATTTCTACATTTTCTTTAGAAAATATATGTATGCCATAATAACATTATCATTGCTATACAATTGCAAGTGTAAAGGGTAGATCAAAATTTAAACCATTTTGGTAAAATTTCATACACTTATAATTGAGAATTTTAATGCACTATAACCAAGATTATCTTTATAATAAGAAGTGATTACTATAAAGTGTAAAATACTTAAATAAACTGAAACAGGACACAGCATCTTCCTGACACGATTCCAAAATAATAAAAAACTGCAGTTGCCAACCCGCCTGCCCTGTAAAAACTTAAATCTCTAAGTCTACCACTATACTACACACACAATAAGTAGAAATTACCTTTTATTGAATAAGCCAAATATTTGCCACTTATATGTACTGCTAGTAGCTGACCAGGGTAAAACTTGGGCTCCCAATTATAGTCAACAAGATTTTTAAGTTTAACTTTTGAGCTCCCATGATTGTGGCTGCCAGCATTTGTAGTGACAATAACATCTGATGCATACACCTCAGAGCTGCACACTCCATCGCCCTCAGAGAATGATCTAAAATGGTTATGGTTATTATTTTTGATATAAAATGGTTCGTATAACAATATAACAAATTTAAGATAACTCAATCATGTCCCCGAGCATTTGTAAAAACATTGTAAGACTAAAAAACCAACAATCTATTTTTCCTACTGATTTTATCTCAAATCAACTCCTTCTTTTCTAATGCTGTTGAAATGTAAACATCCACTGGGTCATTCGATCACAGGCAGTGTACAGATTTGTGGAATTTGTATTGATTCCTTTAAAACTGTTTACTAGATCCACAAAGAAAAAAAATGAAATAGTGCATAGAAGATAAAACATAGCATATGTTGTAATTAGTTGTATATCGAAATAGACCAATTCCTTTATTGACACCAAAATCTACAAATATAAATTGTCTAAGGATATTGGGATACATTTTGAACAAGCTTACAACAGGTTATTATTACTATATTTAAAGACTTAAAAATTTCAAAACTTAAGTAATATATATTGAACTTTTGTAAGATTTAACCATTCACTATTTTCACAGTAACTCCAAGAGTAGTCCTCTGTAACGATGTCAAAACTCATAACCATCCACTTACATAGTTTGAGTTGTATCTGATAACTTCGGAAGCATTGTCGTCGGTTGCATGTCTACGCTATTCTTGTTCTATGAACATAAATTACAAAATTTGCGTTTTCGGTTAAGGACAAACCGTAATTACTGCAAAATTATAAGAAATTTTTATCCACAAATCCGACTGAAGCTGAAGCCGACAGCAGACATCAAGCAGATATTGGCAGATATTAGGAAAATGCGTTTTGAAGTTTGAGCGAGTAAACTTAAGTTATTCACAATTGTGTCGATGATAATTTAATTAAACCAACGCGTGTATCAATTTAAATAAACTATATTTTACTAACAGTTGTACTTTTATTCTTGGTCACTTAAAATATAATATATACAAATAAGCTTAAAAGAGGTTTATGTAAATTAATAAGGCTTAAAATTTTGCAGAATCAAAACCGATTTTTCTTTTCTCTTTGCTCTCTATGCTTCGTTCGTTTCCTTCCTATTGTCTATGTTCGAAGGTTCCCATCACAAACTAATGAGAGTACTAACGTACAGACGACAATCTTCCATACTAAAAAATTGGGTGCGTTCGGATGAAAAAAGCGCTAGCAAGCGCTTACAAGCGCTAAAATAGTTTTCGGCCAGGACACGATTGCTACTTCAGTAGCGCTGACACAATCCGCCATTTTGCTTGTTTTGAAGTAGAAATTATAAGTTGTTTTGTGCAATATTAGTCTTAAGTAATATAATGACATGAATAGACATATAATGTTATTAAAATTCATAATTGGTAAGTTTTTAATATGAATACTTTATATATATTTAAATTAGGTTAGGTTCCCCGGTTAAAACTAACATCGGGTGCGTTTGGCAGAAAAAAGCGCTTGTAAGAAAAATGGCGATCGTAAGCGGTAAACGCTGTCAAATCGTAAATAGCTATTTTCCTCCAGGACACGATGTTAGTTTTAACCGGGAACCTAACCTAATTTAAATATATGTTTGTAAAGTATTCATATTAAAAACTTACCAACATAAATATATATAATAAATATGTATAACATGTTTATTCATGTCATTATATTACTTAAAACTAATATTGCTCAAAACAACTTATAAACTCTACTTCAAAACAAACAAATTAAATAAGCAAAATGGCGGATTGTGTCAGCGCTACTGAAGTAGCTATCGTGTCCTGGCTTAAAACTATTTTAGCGCTTGTAAACGCTTGCTAGCGCTTTTTTCTGCCAAACGCACCCATCGTGTCCTGGAGGAAAATAGCTACTTACGATTTGACAGCACTTACCGCTTACGATCGCCATTTTGCTTACAAGCGCTTGCTAGCGCTTTTTTCTGCCAAACGCACCCATTGGTCTATAGCGAGCCTCAAAAATTGAAAATGACATTTGGTTTTTTAAATAAATCTAAGGCAAAGTCATCAATTTGATTCTGCCTATAGGACAGTGGCAGTACGGAATCCCTTCAAAATTTTGAAAATTTTAATTTCTTATAAGTTTATATTTATGTACATGTTCACAATATGATCATGTACATAAATTTAAACTTATTATAATTTTAATTTAGGTATAATGAAATAAAATACAGAAATATTTGTTAACTTTTTTATTTTTATATTTTTGTTTAAATTTAACAAGCGCTTTTTTTGATATTGGCGGCAAATTCTTCCCTTCTAGGCGCAAGACATCAGTCCCTTTTAAAAATATATTTATTTATTTGCCATTACGTTATATTACGTAACATTGGTACGTCAAAATTACAATTATAATTATATAGATTCAATAATATAGTTAAAATTACAAATTATACAATTACAATAATATAATTAAAATACATCTCATTTACAGTACATTATTTTATGTGTCAAACAAGTCAGAAAATGAACAATGCATATACTTCTACGTTGTAAAAAGCGTGATTTAAAAAGAATGTTATATCACTTGTCGGAACGCATTTAGCGGAAGTCTTGTTATTTCTATTGGCAATTTATTGTACATTTTAATTTTTATTGCAAAACCTTGCTTGAACACTTTGACTAATCTGGTTCTTGGAACAACTAATCTTTCGCGATTTCTAGAATTGTAGTTGTGTAAGTGCTTCTTCATTGGTAGTTTACTGTTTTCCTAGTGCACTTCTAGAAGCGATCTATAAATATATAACGAAACGACATTCATAATTTTCGCTTTTTGGAAATAGGCTCTAGCTGATGTCGATCTGTGCAATCCATGTATAATTCTAATCGACCTTTTTTGACAAATCAGTACTCTTTCAATTTATGTAGCATTTATCCATATCGTAATCGCGTAGCTAATAATTGAGTGACAATATGCAAAGTAGACGGATATAAGAGTTTTCTTGTCAATAATGGGCTTAAGCTTCAATAAAGCGTAATTAGCACTGGCTAACTTTTTACAGACGTTATCTATATGGGTTTCATAACTTAAAGTGGAATCGGAAGTACACCCTAAAAATGTGACGTCACTCTTTGTGACCTTATTTGTTTTTTTGCTTGCATAATTAATAATGATACTTTTTTCTGCATTCAAAATTATTCCGTTTGTTTCAAACCAATTTTTAAGCATATTTAAAATATCATTTGTCTTCTTGGATACTTGGACTGCATTTTTATCTTTAACACCAACCTGTGTATCATCCGCGAATAGTGTAACCATCGCCCAGTCAGGTAAATTATTTGCAAGGTCGTTCACATACACTGAAAACAGCAATGGTCCCAGGGTAGAGCCCTGCGGAACGCCAATGTAACTATGTTGTGAATCAGACTTAGTATTATTTAAATTAACTATTTGCATTCGATTGTTAAGATAAAACTGCATTATTTTCAATTCTTTTCCTTCAAATCCATAGAATTTTAATTTATGAATTAAGATATCATGCCTCAGACAATCGAACGCCTTAGATAAATCGCAAAAAATGCTAGATACCTTCTCCGATCTATCCATATTGATTCCATTACACCAGTTGAAAACTGCGAGTCTGATTGTTAAATCTAGAAAATATTCTAAAGATTGGTGCTCTTGGCAAAATAAGAAGTCAAGTGAATAATTGGATAATTTTTTTAATACTTTTACTAATATTATTCTTTTGCGGATTTAGCTCCAAATATTCACTTGACTCCTCTTCGCGTGTTCAGCAGGATAAGCCATTTTTTTTCTTTATTGCCTCATATTCCCTCATTGAAATCCATGTATGCATTTTTTCTTCGTTTTCAACAGTAAAATTTGCCTTGCAGAGGCTGCAGTTATTAGTTTTTCTTAAAACTTTTCTAATGACCCATCCTGCTGTATATGCCTGAGAATATACATTCAGTCTTTCTTGACGAGCATCCATTTGAATATTTTCTGGCCGACAATTAAAATTAATATTGCTTGTCTCTAAAGTCTTTTTGACTGCAACCCCTGATAGGTTTTGAAATAATTTTTTTTAATTTTAGCAAAGGGGCTGTTTCATTATCCTCGCAGTTAAATGTGGGGTTGTGGAACTTTATAAATCCAGTTATTAATAATGTTTTAAAAGTGTTTGCAAAGGTGTAGCAATCTGGATCATTATTCCTTAAGTTATATGCGCGCACTTGACCAAAGAAATTTTCAATGGGATCTGTGTTGAAATATCGTGGGCGCATAATCTTCACATTTTTTTTTATTAAAGAAATGCCACAGCCTTTGCAAACTCCAACTTTTAATCGAAGGAACTGATGACTCTTTGCCACAAAGGTCTACATATTTCATTTCCTTTATTTTTTTTAATAGCGTAATGCCAAAATGCGTGATGTTCTGATGTTGCAGTAACAGTTTTTCTTAAAATTTTCCCCTTTTGGATTTTGTTGCTTGTGCTTGCACCATTCACTGAATCAAACAGCTTATCAAAAAAGAGAACAGTTGACGCAGAGTTCCTCAATGTTTGGCTCACCTCATTTCCATGAACATCACGAGCTAAAAAATTAAATTATTAATAATTAGAATATACCTAATTTCGAACTAAAATAATTTATATTTCAGACACTTTAAACTTACAAAAATTTGCAACAAAATTCAATGCTTGAGCTACTTTATAACTGAGAACTCTTACACAGTTTTTAACCTGAAACAAAATAAATTTATTTCAGAAATTAACAATAAGTTAGAAAAGTTCGTAAAGTAGTTTCAACTGTCACATGTAAGTTGTAAAATAAAAGTCATAAAATAAAATACAACTTAGATAAATTGAGAATTGTAGTTGAATATTCAATTAATAGTTTAATTACTTTACATCAGTTTGTAAACAACCTACTGATGTGATGTACTTGGCAGATTGGCATTTGCATTCTATTCCTTACGAAGATGTATCTTTGGTTTTGCCCTCTGTGTTGATTTGTGTATTTATATTTGGAATACACAAAATAGTTTACTATCATCCATAAGAGAAAAAAAATACTTGGTAGTCATGCTGCAGTTATATTAGTAGTATAGGGTAGCATGAATGGCTCGGCTCGATCGGGGAAGGACCACGCTCTCACGGAATGCCAGCATAAATTGTAGCTTAATGCTGCTGTATTTCATATAGTGGATGTGGAATTGTAATCAAGGATAGATGTAGATGGCCCTCTTCTGTAAAATAAATATAATTTCAGTGTCAGTCGCGTGTCCCCATAGCAAAATATCATACGACGTAATGCTATGTAAATAACTAATGTAAACTATTCTAGGTGTTTCAACACTGGTAAGAGTTCTAATCTTTTTTACAGCATATGCCGCAGAACTAAGTCTGCCAGCTAGTTTTGATATATGAAGAGCCATTGAAGATTTGCGTCTAGTGTGATGCCAAGAACAGTTCTTCCCCATTTAAAATAACATTAGTATTAACATGTTTGACATTAGGAGTTACGAATATAATACGTTTAGTTTTAGTTCCATTTAAATGCACATTATTAACATTAAACCATTTGATTAACTTATCTATAGTATTATTTACTTCGTCGTAATTTAATAACTGTCGTTTAAATTTGAACATTAATGAAGTATAATCAGCAAATAATACTATATCGTGGTTATAACCTATTATGTAAG